TGAGGGCGGAAGCATAAAGAAGTGTGGGGGGAGGCTCAGGGGGACTCAACAGCGCCTGGTCCTGTCACTCCTCGACCACTGGTTTGCGACCTGTGCCATGGGGAAGGGGGCCATGAGGGAGGCTGAGGCTGGCTGCCTGCAGTCTGCCACCTGTGCGGGGCTCTGGAGGCCTCACATGCTGTCCCACTGCAGAGGGGAAGGTCCCACCTGGCTACTGCGGGACAGAGGTCCGTGAAGGGCAGAGTGGGCAAGCATGCGCCAGGGGAGGCCCAGAGGACACAACAGGGATGGCTGTGGCCAGGCACCTCCTTTCCTGGGTCCCCTTCAGTCAACTTGCACCTTTTCAGCAGTGCCTGAATTTAGGAAGGCTCAGAAACCCAAGTGCCAGAGGAAGCAATATTAGAATTTTTTTTTCAAGACAGAGTCTCGCTTTCGCACCCTGGGTAGAGTGCAGTGGCGTCATCATAGCTCACTGCAGCCTCAAACTCCTGGGCTCAAGCGATCCTCCTGCCTCAGCCTCCCAAGTAGCTAGGACTACAGGAGCATGCCACAACGCCCTGCTAATTTTTCTATTTTTAGTAGAGACGGAGTCTTGCTCTTGCTCAGGCTGGTCTTTTTTTTTTTCCCCTTATTTTTTCTTCTTTTTTTTTGAAGCTTCTTGAGGTTGGGTAAATTGCCAAGGCCACTCAGCTCTTTCAGTATCCTGCCCAGAGGGCACAGGCTTCCAGACCAGCTCCAGGAACCTCACTCAGGCTGGTGTTGAACTCCTGAGCTCAAGCAATCCTCCCGCCTCAGGCTTCCAGAGTGCTAGGATTACAAGTGTGAGCCACCGCACCTGGCCCTAGAATTTTTTTAAAAGTTATTTTAATGTATGTGTTTGTTTCTCTCTGATTATAAATTAATACTATTGATTATAGAAAACTTGGAATTTTTTTTTTTTTTTTAAGACAGGGTCTCGCTCTGTCACTCAGGCTGGAATGCAGTGGTGTGATCATAGCTCACTGCAGCCTTGAACTCCTGGGCTCAAGGAATCCTCCTGCCTCAGCTTCCTGAGTAGCTGGGACTACAGGCATGCCCAGCTAATTTTTCTATTTTTCGTATAGACAGGGTCTTGCTGTGTTGCTCAGGCTGGTCTCTAACTCCTTGGCTCAAGTGATCCTCCCGACTTGACCTCCCAAAGTGCTGGCGTGAGCCAATCCCTGCCTCGGATTTTTATACAGAAAAATACTATAAAAAACCATCCTGAATCCTCTGTACTTAATTTAAACCATATGAAATTGCTGGTCAAAAATAGTCGAATGTCAACAATTTCATATGGCTCAACCAAATATTAACATTTTGCTGTATTTCTTCAGTTGTTTTCTTTGAATAAGGACTACTTTGAAAAATATGGAATTTTCAGCTATAGATGTATTATTTAAATTTTCATGTTTCATTTTTCACCCCAGCCACCCCCAAAATCTAATTATCCAGTTGAATGGACACCAATAACAAAATGAAGTAGCTCATTAAAATAAAATTTTATATTAGGTTCCATACAATGAGAATCATAAATATAAATCCTAAGTTGATCTACTTATTTTAAATGGTAAATCAACAGTAATTTCTGACGTATGGAAATTCTTAATTTCTAAAATCCAAAATAATTCTTTCCCTAGTCTGCATCCCTTTCCTCTTCCCCTCATTGGCTACCTTTCTTCTCCTGCAGAATGGATGTGGGGGGTAAGGATGGAGAGGAGGTCAGGTGCTCTCCCCTGTGAGCTGGTAACTGGGACAGAGCTGCCTGGAGGGAGATGGGGAGGGCTGGGGCAAGGGGCTCTGCGTTCAGCTGTGTTAAGTTCAAGATGTTTGAATAGAGGAGCCTGGAGGGCACAGGAGAGGGCAGGGCTGCAAATGTTTATTTGGGTCGCCTTGAGGTAGGCTGTATTTAAAGCCATGAGTCAAGGACTGAGCCCTGGACCCTCCAGCAATGCAGTGGTCGTGGAGGAGTGACCTCTGAGGTCAGGAACACGGGAGAGCTGTGTCCTGGAAGCCAAGGGGAGAAAGGTTTTCCAGGAGAAGAGAGGAGTGACCCTTGGTCAGCAGTCATCTGAGAATAAGACCCTGCCATTGGAGGTTATCAGTGACCTTGACTGGATGTTCTCTGGTCAAGTGGGGACAGGAAGGTTCTGCCAGAACAAAAAGTTGTCCCTCTGGGCAGACAAATTAGAAAAAGGCAAACACAGCCCCAGGCACATGGCTGGCCCAGCAGAGGGTGACTGACTGGCCCCTTAGCCCAGAACCTTTATATGGGACCCCACCTGGCCAGCCATCAGCAATGCCAGTGCTCGAAGCTTTAGCTCACAGAGCAGGGGTGAACGCGGTGCCACCGGGCTGCACACCTACAAGGTGCCTGTCATGCAGGTGGCTGCCACTGGAGGGCGCCCCGACACACCATTGGATCCCACAAAGGGGCCTTGGAGAGAAGGCAGGGGGCAAGAGTGGTACCAAGTTCCTGCTCAGAGAATCAGCTCATTTCATCTGCAGGAGGGCTGTTTCTGCCCTGTAGAGAAGCCGCCAGCCTTTCCCTGTGAGGCCCAGTACACCGGTGACATTTGTAGGTCGGGATTTGGTCTGAGCCCGTGGGGCAATTAGGGATTCCAGTGGGGAAGGATGTTTTCTGACTTCTTAGAGTCTGGGCAAGGTGCTTTTCACTGAACCGTGTCCAAAGACATAGCCCCATTCCCTGTGGCAGTGGGAGGCACAGGGGGTCCCTACTCACTCTAGAGATTCTCACCAGTTTCCCTTTGTCCCCCTTAATTTTGTGTTTCCCCTTAATTTTTTCTTGGTTTTTAAAAAATTATAAAAGTAAAACATGACCATCAAATAGAACAGTATAGAAGGCTATAGAGAAAGGGATAATAGGGCTCCTCCCTCGACTACAAGTAGCCTCAAAGGTGACCACTGACGGCATCCAGACATTTCCAGGGCACTTCAAGCCCACACAGCCCCCTTTGATTTCTGCACAGGCAGATGGCAGTGTGCATCGTGTCCTGTGACTTGCTCCTCCACTAATAGCGTATCTTGGGTTTCGTTCCTTGTTTTGTCCATCCAGCTCTGCCACATTCTCCTGGGGCAGCCATGGCCACTGTTGAGTACCTGTGCCCCGTTGCTGTTGATTCAGGTTGTTTCTGGTTTGGGGCTGTTGAAAAGAACATTGCCATGAACCCCCTTGCTTTTGTGGCTTTCTGCTTTTGTGAAGGTTCCATGTCCGTAGGGTAAATTCCTAGAAGTGGAACTTCTGAGGCCAAGGTTAGGGACCCTTAACGTGGAGACATCCTGCCCGATTAGCCTCCTGTGATGCTGTGCTCTTTCACCTAGCTGCCAACCAGAATGTGTGTGAGGGCCTGTTTGTCCCCACTCCCCAAACACCGGGTGCCACCAGTTTTTCAGAGGGTGCCAGTCTGGAAGGTGTACAGGGTGAGCCCCCCAAACCCAAGAACCCCAAATCTGAAATGCTCCAAAATCGTGCTCAAATCAAATGCTCTTTGGAATATTTTAGATTTTGAATTTTTGGATTTGGAGTGTTCAACCAGTTTGTATTCTGCACATATTCCAAAATCTAAAATAATACAAAACCCAAAACACTTCAAGGGATACTTGACCTATAAAAGCTGTGTTGCTTTAATTACCATCCCCTTTTGGTGACATAGTTTATCTGGCTACCCAGGCCCAGGGGAAGGACCCCAGGGTCCTGGCCCAGCTGCTGCCCTGATGGAGGACCTTGGCAGATCTTCTGTACTTGCTGGCTTCTCTCTAGAAAGATACTAGGGAATTTTGAATCCAGTCCAGCCATAGTTCTGTCCAGCAACCCGTAGTGAGGAATGTGTATATCATAGCAACTGGCACGTGTGTGAAAACTGTCACAAAACAGGCTTCTCCCTCATCACATGGAACATGCTGTGATAATTTTTACTTTATTCGTGAGACCTAGCATTCTCTCTGTTCTCCCTAAGAGGCCCCTAGGAATTCTGAAGAGCCCATCTTGGGGCTGGGTGAATTTTTGTGCCCCGAAAGACCTGGAAAACATCCTTTAGCAACAGTATTTAGGATGCGTCCTTCATCCCTTGAAGAGAGGCTGCGTGGGTTGGGTTGTGAAGGAGAAGCCATTCAGGAGACCCTGACTTGACCTCACAGATCTCCCGAGGCTCTTCCCCTTAGGCTGCTCTAAACCGTGTCCCATGTGTGGGACACATAGCTCCATTCAGCCTAGAGTGGGGGCCAAGCCCTTCTTGGCTGTCCCCCTATTGTTGCTCGCTGGGACTGGGGCATGAGAGCAGGGTGGCCACCCCAAAAGAGGGCCTGGGAAGCCCCACCACCCCTCAAAGCTTCTGTGGAGGGTCCTGCCCTAGCCCCCTGCCTCCAGACTTTCTCTCTTGCTTTGAGTTGAGGGGGTGCCCTCTCTAATTATAGTCTCCGCCCGGCCTAATCACAGTAGGCTAATTGTCACATGGCTTTGCGAATGCGAGCCTTTGCTTTGGGCAGTCCATCAGCCCCTGGTACCTGCAGGGAGGCTGCCCAGGAGAGCTGTGTGAGGAAGTGTGAGTGTGGCCTCTGCGGCCCTGGAGGGGTGGGCTGCCTGGACCCTCTGTCCATGGAGCCCTGTGGCCCACTGGCACACTCCTGTCCCCAACCAAGGGCTCACTGGGCCCTTGATAGTGTAGGCCTTTCCCCTCTCCCGGAGTCCAGGGAGCCCCTGATAAACAGCACCAGGCAGGCCTTGCCATTTTCATCCTATTTAAGTAAGTGTCCTTAATGAAATGCTTTTAAAAATACTTTTAGTTTTTCTTCTCATAAAAGCAGTATCTGTTTGCAGTAGAAACTTCCGAAAATATGGAAAAGGGAAAAACCACTGTGACCCCACCCAGTGACTCATGACCCTAGATGCGCTCTCATTTTGGTGGAGGGAGTCTCGTGACTGGCCCTGTGTTCTCATCTGACTCATTGCATTGTCCCCACAGGGAAGTCCCACCTGGCCATCGTGCAGAAGGTGAACAATGAGGGTGAGGGCGACCCCTTCTACGAGGTCCTGGGCCTGGTCACCCTGGAGGACGTCATTGAGGAGATCATCAAGTCCGAGATCCTGGACGAGTCGGACATGTTCAGTGAGTTTGGCCTTCTCCACAGGCCCCCAAATCTCTTTCCTGCTTGGATCTGAAATCTGGTGTCCATAGGTAGAAAGGCCACAGTGCAGGGACATGGGGGGCCCCAGCACCCTGTGGGCCAGTGACCAGGTGCCTGCTGCTGGCCAGAGTGAGAGGGAGCACATTGCTGCGCCTTCCCCCTGCCCCCTAGCCCCAGCCTCTTGCCTCGGTGGCAGCCCCTGCCCCTGCCTGGCCAGAGCCTACTGCTCCTATGTGGGACGCGAGAGCAGGAGCAGGGCGGGCAGGTCCCAGTCTCTTCCCCAGTCCTCAGGGGACAGTGTTCTCAGTTCCACATTCTTCCTCTGGCAGTTGACAACCGAAGCCGGAAACGGGTGTCTGAGAAGAACAAGCGTGACTTCTCAGCCTTCAAGGATGCTGACAATGAACTCAAAGTGAAAATCTCCCCTCAGCTCCTTCTGGCCGCTCATCGCTTCCTGTCCACAGGTAAGAGCGTGCAGAGGACCTTCCTGTGTGGGTGGACGTACAGTCGCCGAGGGAGACGGCCTGGGCCTCTGGCTACTCCCCTGTGAGATGAGGGGCCAGGCGTCGCCTCCATCCCTGGGGCTCTCCCTGCGTTTGTGTGCTGTTCATGGGCTGCCACTGCAAGCTTCTAAGAAGCATCAGAGTTAGTTTTAAAAATAACCACTGAGGTGGGCCTCTGGGCTTCGTGGGCCCCTGGGCTTGCCAAGCCCCTCCGGGCTTGTGGAGTAGGAAGGAAAGGGGCCCTTCCGCTGGCCGTGGGCCTGCGTGCAGCACACGCTGCCCTCCGCTCTCCCGCTCTGAAGAACCTGTGTCCAGCTCTGTTCTCATGCCTCCTGCCTTCCCCTCTGCCTGCGTGTGCTGGTACCTGCAGGAATTCACCTCTAGATCAGTGACATTTCTCTCTTATCGCCCCTGATTCAAAGCTCCCTTGTGGGCCCAGGTGACAGATTAGAAAACACCTGCCTACTCCATCCCCTCCCCACCAATTCCACTTCCTTCCCACCCCTCACTTGCTAGAGGTGCCATAATTCCTTCTTCTTAATTTTCCTGCAGGGATGTTGGTAATGATAATAATAATTCTAATAGCATTTATGCAGCATTTTACATGTGGTATCCCATTTACCCCCCAACCACCCTATGAAGTATTTTTTTCCTTTGACAGAGATAGGTCTCACTCTGTCACCCAGGCTGGAGTGAGGTGGCCTGATCATAGCTCACTGCAGCCTTGAATTCCTGGGCTCAAACAATCCTCCCACCTCAGCCTCCAGAGTATCTGGGGCTACAGGCCCGTGCCACCACACCCCGCTAATTTTTTAAAATTTTTTGTAGAGATGGAGTCTTGCTATGCTGTCCAGCCTGGTCTAAAACTCCTAGGCTCAAGTGATCCTCTTGCCTTGGCCTCCCAAAGTGCTGGGACTATAGACATGAGCCACTTTGCCTGCTTCCCATCCTATGATGGTTTCATCCCTATTTTACAGATGAGGAAACTGAGACACAGGTTAGGAAATTTGCCCAAGGTCATGTACTGTTCCTGCAGGAGCCACCGTTCAAGCCCAGGCGGGCAGACAGACTTTAACCAGACCGAAGCCACGTGTGCCCCTTTTCCAGTGAGGTGCAGAACCTGTGGGCTCGAGCAGGGAGGGAGCCGTCTCAGCACAGAGCGGCTGCTGCAGTTTGGGTGGAGGCACAGCAGTGACCAAGCTGGAGGGCCACCCGGCCTGGCCCCTTGTGAATCTCCTCTCTTTCCTCCTACAGAGGTCCCCCAGTTTAGCCCCTCTCTAATATCAGAGAAAATCCTGCTGCGGCTGCTCAAGTACCCAGACGTCATTCAGGAACTCAAGTTTGACGAGCACAACAAGTACCACCCCCTCCATTACCTGTATACCCGAAATAAGCCGGCTGACTACTTCATCCTCATCCTGCAGGTAGGCACCACGGGTGCTAGGCCCAGGTGGGCTGTGCCCCTGCCCCTCCTGCACCACATCCCCCTCCTGTGCCCTCCCTCCCTGCTGCTGCGGAGACGCTGGTGTGCAGGCTTCCCTGACCTCGCCCTCGAGCCTTTGCTTGCCCTCAAGGACCACCCTCTTCTGAGCCTGAGCCCACAGGTCAGGGCCCGGAGCTCCTCGTGCACCACCTTCCCGCCACCTTCCAGTTCCTTCCTCACTTCCTCCTCCTGCCTCGTCCTTTGCTTTCCCACTTGGTTGTTTTTCTTGTCACTCTGTAACCCTGAACTCTGTGATTCCAGGGGAAGGTGGAGGTAGAGGCAGGGAAGGAGAACATGAAGTTTGAGACGGGTGCCTTCTCCTACTACGGGACCATGGCCCTGACCTCTGTCCCCTGTGGTGAGTCGTTGGGCTGGGTTTGCACTGCCTTCGGGGAGCCGGGGAGGCATCTATTCTAGGCAGTCCCGATGGCTAGTAACCAGGTGGCTTGGGCATAGGGAGGCTGGTGAGGCCAGAGGAAGAGGCCAGGAAGAGTGGAGTGACCTGCCCCTTTGGACGAGGTCCAGGGCCTAGAGGGGAAGAGATGACGGGGATTTTGAGCAAAGACCTAGGGTCAGCGGAAGGCGTGTCCTGAGGTGGTGAGGACACCAGCCTGCTGTGGTGGAGGCGGACTGTGCGGAGGAAGGGGAGTGTCGGGAGCCCCAGAAAGGGGATGAAATTTGGTGTGATAGCAAGTGGAAAGTGGTCAATGGCCTTGGAGCAAGGGGAGGCATGACAAGAGCAGAATGGACCAGCAGGGCAAGCCAGCCCTGGGTGGAGAGTAGGAGGCAGGTGGAATGGGCTGCAGGGCCCTGATTGTGAAGACCAGGACAGGGAATCCAGGTGCCCAAAGTGCCTGTGGTTGGGAGCCAGACCAGGGCCTGTGTGCCAGGGTGGGCTGCAGATGGTTTTGTCTTTTCGGGGGGCTCAGCCACACCTTTTGCTTAGAGGTCAGCTCTAATGGCACAAAGGCCTTGAGGGCAGACAAAGGGGGAACTGGGCACCCTCTCCAGGGGTGTTATGGAAGGTCTGGGGAAGGGCCACTCTGGCCGCCCTGGCACCCTCTGCAGTCCTGGGTGGCTTAGGCTTCCCTGGCCAGAGATGCCTTGTGGCCGGGGTACAAGGCCCAAGTCTCACCTAGCTTAGCCCCTCCCTCCGTGAGAGCCCTCTGACCTCGGAAGGGGCCCTGGGTTGCTTCAGGGTAGAGAGAGAAAGTCCACTTTGGTGCTGAGGAACAGGCCATGCTGGTGGGGTGGGTTCTGCAGCTCCTAGAGAACCTTTGTGTTGTGCCTGTCACTGTGCTTTGACAAAAAGGACCCCTGGGGGGGCAAGGCACCCATGAATATTGAAATGCAGCTCAGCTCAGCTCTTATGTCCTCTGTCCCTCCACCAGGATGAGCTGGGTCTCACAGGCTCCTGGAGTGGGGCAGACAAGGCTCCAGAACTGGGCTCTGGGGCAGGTGGGCCCTGCTGGGAAAACCTGGACCTGGAGAGGACTTGCCTGCCCCTCCCAAGAGTGCCTCTCATCCATCCAACTTGGGGACATCTTGTTGAGAAGGGCGTGCAGGTATGGGAGGCTTCCCCTGCCTCTCTCTGCAGGGATGCCTCAAAAGCCTGACAGGGTCCTGGGCTCTGTCCCTCGACCTGTAGGCCCCCAGTTCCCACTTGGAGTGTCCAGAAGGGAGGGGAGATGACTGGGCACACTTGGCCAGCTGCTGCCCTTCGCTGCCCAGGCTCGGTGGTCTGCCCTAAGCACGCTTCCCATCAGAGCCATGTCCCTTTCTCCACTGCGCCCCCATCTCTGCCCGAAGGAGCCTGGCCCCTGTCAGGCCTGCCTCTCCGTCCTGTACCTGTGGCTCCGTGTGCCTCCTGAGCATGCATGTCACTGACCTTCTCCTCTTTTGCTCCAGTGCCTTCAACCCAGGTCGGGTGTCCGCCTGGCAAGCGGAACCCCCCACTCTCCTGGCTCACAGGTAACGTGGCATGGCTGAAGAAGTTCGCACTGCCACCTGTCGCCTGAGCCTGCACACTGCAGCTGCATTAACCGCTCTCAGCAGCTTTTGGGGGCATCTCAGCATCTCACCATGTCACACGTGTGGGCCAGCCTGACTTGGACTGGCTCTGCTTGGCCTAGGGCCCAGTTTCTGAGCAGCTTTGCCCAAGTCCTGGAAGGGTCTGTCAGTCTTTGAGAACACACACCCATAGGTATAGATATACACACAGCGCACAGGCTGGGAGTAGAGGGTCGCTCCTAGCCCGGCCAAATGTGCACTGGCCAGCCTGCTGCCCTCCACAACCTGGAGGAGATGGAGCCCTGCTGGTCAGCAGCCCCCTGCTCCAGGCTGCACACAAACCTTGGCAGGATGACTTCTCGTCTCATCAGCTTTCTCTAGAAAATTGCACAGGCTTTGCTCCCCATTCAGCTGCTCATGTCTGTGTGCCCGGGGCAGGAGCAACGCGGCAGTTAGGGGTGCGACAGGGCTCAGACCGTCCATTGGAAATGCCATCTCTACAGTTGCTAGCTAAATGATAGGTCTCTGTCTCGGTTTCCTCATCTGTGAAATGGGAACAATGTGTGTACCCATCTCATAGAGTTGCGGGAGAGTGAGAATAGATATGAAGTATTTAGTTAGAGCTCAATTATTATTATTTCTGTTTTTTCTTGATTACAACTAAAATGTAGCATTCCAATCAGAAAGTCTTTCTGAAGAGGCCAGATGCCACATGCTCTTTCTGGCCTTGGATATGTCACACCCCTGATACCTGTCCCAGGAGTCTGTGGTATGGGAACAATGTGGCCAGACTCACAAGGTTTGAGATTCACTGGGATTCCCACAGGCGCTGATGCTGCGGAGGTTGCAGAGGTCGCGAAGGTGCTGGTTGTGCCATCAGCCTGTGGCCCAGGCTGGCGAGCCCCAGGCAGGTCAGCAGCAATTATGAGCATCTTGGAGCCCTCGTGCCCTGACAGCCCTCCAACTTCTGTCAGTTGTTTCCAATTTTATATTTGTCCAGTTGGGCTTTTTCCTGCTTAACTACTCCAAAGCACACTTTGCTATTTTGACCCTCTGTCTAAAAATAAATAAATAAATGAAAAGGTAACTTAGAAGAAATCACTCCCTGTCCCTTTCCAGCCTCACCAGTGTGACCGCAGCCTCCCTCCCCTGTTCAGCACTTGCTCCTGTCTCATGGGTGGCCAGGAGTTCATGCACCCATGGTTGAAATCCTGATGTTTTTATTTACTATGGGAACACAGACGCTTTGCCTTAAGCTTCCTAGTCAGGGCCTCATGGTGTTCCACAGAGCAGGTGTGCCTTCATCTGTTAATTCTCCATGTTATCCACATTCATGGGGGGTCTCTGTTATAAATAACACTGTGATGTAAACCTCTTCTTGCAAAAAACTTTTTCAGTGTTTAAGATTATGCCTTTAGGGCCGGCCGAGGTGGCTCAGGCCTTTAATCCTAGCACTCTGGGAGGCCGAGGCGGGCGGATTGTTTGAGCTCAGGAGTTTGAGACCAGCCTGAGCAAGAGCGAGACCCTGTCTCTACTAAAAAAAATAGAAAGAAATTAATCGGACAACTAAAAATATATAGAAAAAATTAGCCGGGCATGGTGGCGCATGCCTGTAGTCCCAGCTACTTGGGAGGCTGAGGCAGAAGGATTGCTTCAGTCCAGGAGTTTGAGGTTGCTGTGAGCTAGGATGACCCCACGGCACTCTAGCCCGGGCAACACAGTGAGACTCTGTCTTAAAAAAAAAAAAAAAAAGATTATGCCTTTGGGATATTCTTTCAGAAGTAGAATTGCCAGGTCAAAACTCCCTAGTTTTTTTTGTTTTTGTTTTTAATATTTGTTGTTTTGTTTTAATCATAAAAATAATATAGCTTATTAGGGAAATTGGGAAAATAGAAAAAAGTCTTGAGAAAATTAAAAAGCACCGTAATTTCATTACTCACAGAAAAAAACATTTTGGTGTAACAGGTCATGTCACCAATTTGTGTTGGTTTTAAATTCAGTTCCTGTTTCTGAGGTGTTAGTAAAGCATTAATTAAAACCATTCCATCATTCAAATTATTATTGTGAAATATTAAGTAATACCCCTATCATTTCTTTTTTTTTTTCTGGAACTTAATCAGAGGTGTTACCTAAGTTAGGTGCCTGCACACAATCCTCTAGTGATCCTCTGAGCATTCCCTGTTCCTGTGTGGGGGACCACAACCAGTCACAGAACAGCCACACTGTAATTTCCTAGTTTATAAATGAAAACCAAAGCTTTGCTTAAGCACAAGACAGAGTATTACTCAGCTCAGCTTCATCGAGTTAAAAGCTGTGTTGGTTACTGAGTCACTCGGTTCAGGATGCTTGCTCTCTTCACTTGGTGATTGGTTAGAATAGCTAACTTAGTAGTTAACTAAGCAAGTCAGCTTAGTCCACTTCCTGTTTGTTTAAAACAAGCCTGCATGCCTTGACAATTAACTTCTTTGTGCATTTCATGGTTTTCTAAGTGTTCTCAAAAATAAGAGTTAATGATGTACAATAACACATGCGGTTCCTTCAAAATAAGGAGCTCATCCCTTCCTCATTTGACATTGGGAGGACCCTTCCCTGGATAGGGAGGCCTGTGCTGCCTCTAGTGGCAGGAAATGGCATGCACCGCATCCACCCAGGCTCTGCTTCACTGGAGGGGACCCTGGATCCTGTGAGAGGGACCTGCTGCCCCCTTCCTCTGCCAGGTGCTGGGGTGCAGACAGAAGTGGGCAGGGCAGGACTGTGTTCCACACTGAGCAGGTCACCTGAAGAACACTCTTTTGACCCCATAAGAGCATTTTAAGATATGACAGGGCACCACGTGTGAGGGGGTATGTATTTGTAGCAAGAGAGTACAAACTATATATTCTTCCTTTTCATAAGGCATTGTTATTTAAAGTATGCAGTTTATATCATTTGTCACAAGTGGGTATTGAGACAAGGATAGTAGCTTATCCTGCTAGGGTGATCATTGTGTTGCTTGACTGATTAATTGGAGAAACGAGGAGTCTTGTAGCCATAAATTTTCTGTGTCTTTGGTTTTTATTTTTTGGTCGGTTGTTTTGTTTTGGTAGATTTTTTAATACTTGTTGCACAACACTTCTAAACAAACTAACTTATTTGCTTTACAAGGTCAGATCTTCTACAGTTAGAGCATCTACGTGCTTCTGTTTGTCCCTAAGAGCGATTTCCTGTTCCTGGGCAGGGTGCCGTGTCCCTGGCCTTCCATGGGATGAGGGCAGACAAGAGCCTGCAAGTGGGCACCAGGCCTGACAGCCTCTGCTCTCCCTGCAGACCGCTCCCCAGCCCACCCCACCCAGCTTAGTCGCTCAGCCTCCCTCAGTTACCCGGACCGCACGGATGTCTCGACCTCAACAGGCTTGGCAGGCGGCAGCAACCAGTTCGGCAGCTCCATCCTGGGCCAGTACATCTCTGATTTCAGCGTTCGTGCAATCATGGACCTGCAGTACATCAAGGTGAGTGTGTCCCTCGCCCTCGTCTGGGCAGCGCCATCTTTCTCATCTCTGCTCAGGAATCAGCAACTTCTTTCTTTCATCCACCAAACCCAGCACGGAGGGCCCAGACCTGAGATGCTGCTGCTTCTTGCTTTTGCTCCTGGCTCTTTTTAAGGGTTTCTGGAGACTCTGCCTTGTCCTGTCTTCTCTTCTTAACTGGCAGCCTCAATCCTGGCCCCGTTTCCCCAGGCCTGGTGTAGGGTCTGCCTCTCAACCCCCGTCCATGAACTTGTCTCTTCCTTCTGCAGGTGACTCGGCAGCAGTACCAGAATGGGCTGCTGGCCTCACGCATGGAGAACAGCCCTCAGTTTCCCTTGGATGGGTGCACCATGTGCACGGAGAACTGTGTCGAGAAGTCCGAGCTGCCTGTGGTGGATGAGACCACAACTCTTCTCAATGAGCGTAACTCCTTGCTGCACAAAGCCGCCCACGAGAGTGCCATCTGACAGGAGGGCCCGGGGTCCCCTGCCTACCCTGCGGGGGCCTCCCCAGTGGGCCCACATGAAGAGAGGGGGCCTGTTAGGCCAGAAAGGATGCAGATAGATAGCCTGTCTGACTGAGCAGCCAGATGGCCCCCGTCTGTGGGGATCTGGCCTCCAACAGGGACCTGTGAACTGCTCTGGGGTAGCGCCTGCCCAGCCCTGGATTGCTGGTGCAGCGGGCCAGCTACCATGAGCAAAGGCTGTTTTTTTACTGAGAGAATTTCTAAACTAGGCTCATTGCTCCTCTTTTTAAATATTATTTTGGGAAGGGAAGACAGGGTTAAGGAACTTTATTTAAAAAAATTTTTTTTTCCAAAAAACTTTAAAAGGGGAAGGGTCTCTCACCCTGGGAAGCAATAGCCATAATCTGCTCCTAACCATGACCTTCCAGCTTATGTCTCTGACTCAGGAAGCTCACCCTTCCTCCTCCTCCTCTTCCTCCTCTTCCTCCTCTTCCTCCTCCTCCTCCTCCTCCTCCTCCTCCATCTCCTCCTCCTCCTCCTCCAGAGGTGAGATCCCAGAGCCTGCTGGAGGAGGGTTGTCTCCTGGGAGGAAGACAGCTCTTCCCAGGAAGCAAAGAACCAAATGGCGTTGAGATCAGCTGCCTGGACACATATGCCACAGCTTATCTGACATTGCTGAGGCCGAGGGCTTCTGGGTGACTATGATCAGGGACACGATAATCCCAGCTACAGAGAGGAGCACATCTGCTGTCAACCGCTGGACCCAGGAATCTCCCAGAACTCTGCTAACAGCCTCTCCTGGTGAGTTGGGACTCTGCTGAGGACTCTCCCCCCTGCCTCCCTTCTGCCCCTTTGGACAACTCCCCCCTGTAACAGGGCTGACTCAAGAGTGTTAGGCAGGGTCTCAGACCTTTGCGATTGCTTGTCCCTGCTCCCCAGGCCCTGCCCTCACTTTTACCAAAGGTTTCCTCCCCCCACCCGGTAGGAGGGCGTCTACATTAGAGGTGACTTGTCTGGGTTATTGCTTTTGGTTCCAGGAGTGAATCTGGTCATCGACATCTGCGTTGTTAGAGGTTAATACCACCCCCGCCCCACAAGGAGAGTCAAGGCTCAGTTGTTGTCCCATGAAGCCCTTCTTTCCAGACTCTCTATATCTAATCACAAAACCCCAGTCCCTCTTGGGAGTTGGGGACAAGAGGACATGTTGGAAGCCACCTAAGCAAGTTCTTTATGCTCTTTCCTCTGTGGCTGGCTGAAGCTCACCTGACCTTGTTCACCTACTTATGGAACCCTGGCAAAGGAGGGTGCCACCTAAAGGCATGCAGCTGGCAGCCTCATTTCCCCACATCTGAGTAATCCTAGCATGAAAGGTCACACCAGCCTTTGCTGAAGCTAGTGGCACTGTGCCAAGAGCTCAACCCCCATGTGAAGTCCTGCCCCGGCGCCTCTTCCCTGGGGCTGAATCAGGCCCTGCAGCACAGCTCCAGGCTTCTCACTGTGGGGGAGGCTGTAGGACTTGGGTCCACGTTGGCCCTTCCCTCAGGGAAAACAGGAGCTGGGGCCCAAGATTCAGGCAAGTGAGGCTCGGCAGGCTTCTGCCTGAGTATTGTTCATTCACTCCTTTCCTCACCAGTGGAGTCACCCCAAGTGCTCTGCTCTCCAGGTGCCTAGAGAATCCTAACTCTTGGGACCAGGGACTGTTTTGCACCAAGGATGCCTATCCCTGGCCAGTCTGAGGTCTTCCCTAGTCACAGAATTGACTCCTAGAAGTCTGGAGAGAAGGTGGTGATGCCTGTGGGTTCTTAACTATAAGGAAAAAAGACACCAGACCTTTGTTCCTTGTTGAGGGAAAGCCCTTAGTTTAACCCAGGGGCATTTTGCTCTGGAGTCCTCATGGGAGCAGGTATAGCTGTGTTCCTTAGAGGCCTGAGTGCCAGGTGGAGCAGAATGCATTGGCCCAAACCAAGCAGGCGTGTGTGAAGCAAAAGGGGCAGGTGCACACACTTCCACAGCTACCTCTTTGCACACACGGTTACTACCAACAGACCGTCCCTCCTCCCTCTTCCCTATTGATAATCACTTCTTACAGAGGGTCATAATTATTTCCATATATTACGGTCTGATGTCTTCCTCCTCCTAGTGCAATTTTTCACTTCCTATTTCCATGTTTGGTTCCTGGGATGAGCCATACCCTGGAACTGGCCCATCCTGCGTGTCTTCCCATGAGGGAAGGCCTTTGCAAATGGCATCCAAATGGGTAGGCAGGTCACAGCCGCCATAGCAAGTAACTCATATTTATTTTGCATAAGATTTTAATTTGTATATTTTTGTGATTTATTTTGGCATTGTTATGAGTTTGACTCTCGGGGAGTTTTGTTGTTATGACTCTTGTGTCTTTTGTCACAAAACAATGATAATATTTGCTAAACAATATATGGAATTTATTTTTGATTGGTAATAAAAAACGAAATATGTATAAATCTTGGCGAGTCTACAACTTGCCTGTTTGAGTTCTGTCAGTGTTTAGTATCTGTGTAGAGATACACGTGGCTGTGGCTATCACTTGTGACAGGGCAAGGGGCAATAAAGGGATTCTGGGACTAGTTAGTGGTGAAATGCCAGCAGAATTTATAAAATATATATAATTAAGGCTGTTGTCACAGGAGTTAGAGAGTGGTGGCTGCTGGTAGACATACAGGGCAAATGTGCCCAAGTGCCACAAGCATAAACTGGATACCATAGGGTCTTCTGCTTGCAGGTCCTGGGCGGGACACTTGGGGTGAGCAAATTGCCCCTACTCCTTCCCCAGGGGACTGAAGGGTGCTTGATCCCAAAGTATGACCGTATTGTTTTATAGCATACAGTCGCCTTTTTGTTCACACTTACGGGTTGGTTGTGGTGGCAAAGTTGGAGTGTTCATCCCCTGAAAAGCCCAACTGAGAGTGAGCTCGCTCCCGAACAGGCAGCTGTGCACACTCCTCCTGTGGTGTGCATAGGTGCTACAGGCTGGCTCTTGTGAGCGAGCGCACTGGGGCTCACGCCAGCCAGGCTTGACGGAATAAACAAATTGGGGGGGGTGATTGAAGAAAGGGAGGCACATGGGTAGGCCTCAAAGGAGAGAGGATATTCCAGATAAAAGGAGTTACAAATGCAAAAGTTTGTGTATAGGTGGGCAAGAGGAAATTACCTTCATCCATCTATTCCACACATGTAAGCCCCTGCTACACACCAGGTGCTACTCAGTGAGTCTAGTGAGGAAGACCCCTCGAGAGAGCCCATTACACAGGGCCTTTTGACTTGCTATCTCCTCTGCAAGACATTCCTACCAAGTCTTTGGTGAAGCTCCCCCTCATTTCATTTAAGCCTCTATTCAAATGTCTCCATGAAGAAGCCTTCCCTGACTACCCCATCTCAAACAGCATTGCCCCAATCCCTCTGTCTCTTTATCTTGCCTTGTTTTTCTCTACTGCACTTTTCAGATATTAAAATATAAACTTGTGTATTTTCAGTTGTCCCTGCACTAGAATCTAAGCTCCACAAAGGTAAGGACTTTATTTTATTCCCACTCTAGTCCCAGCATTAGAACAGTACCCAGTTCATTGCAGGCACTTGATACAGGAAATATTTGTTGAATGAATAAAGGAATGACTCTTATAACACATTAGTACTGGATGATGGGGGGAAGCACATAGTTCCCATAGCCTTGGCCTAACTTAGTCAAAAGGGTCAAGGAAGATCACTTGGAGGAAGTGGCATTTGAGCTAAGACTTGAGAGATGAACAGGAGTTAGCCAATGAGGTCACACCCAATAGCTATGGGTTTAAAACTCAAGAATAAATATTTAGATAAAACACAGAAATGTCTTGAATGTAATTGACCTGTGAGGAAAATGGCTTAGGATGGCCACTGAGGAACTTGAAGGTCAAGTGGCAAGTGTCTCCATTGATGCTCACTAGTCAGGGCTGGGGCAAAGAATGACAAAGAGCCAAAGGAGAAGCTGGTGAAGTATCTGAGGCCTCTATTGTAAATAGAAAACCACTCCACGAGCAGCTTCATTTGCCCTGTACTGGATTCTTTGTATTTTGACTATTGATAGTTTAAATGACCATTTGTGTTTTCTAAGTTTGATCCAATTGTTCTTCCATCTGAAGGTTTTCTTCCCCAAAATTAGTGATAGGCTGTTTTCCAGGGGAGCCAAGGAAAAAGTAACTTGTCAAACACGAGAGTCCTGTCTTTAAATCCATAGGGAGTTTTCCCTGTCTTTCCTCTGGAACTGTTCTTTGCTAGTTAATGACTTTTCAGGCACATGACTCATTTCAAGCATGTCATCTGTTCTTTTTTTTTTAATTTCTGAAAAATTTTTTACTGTAGCTACCTTCAAAGACCTCAATGCTAGCATTTTACCTTGACTTGGAGACAGAAGATAGAACTAAATAAGATGAATCTATTATAATGTTCCCACATTTTTTTTTTTCAAAGGAGACATGACCATCCAGTGGAAAGGCTCAGTAATGTCTTTATTGCTTCTGCTGGTGGCTTACTCTGTAATCTGCAAGAGTGAGGTAAACTACTCAAAGGGCACCAGCATCATCTGGATAATAAAAACTGAAGCATGTGGAGATGCCGCTGGCCTAGTCACAGTTCTGCAATGTAGAAGGTATACTGTTACCATCTTTTTTTTTTTTTTTTTTTTTTGAGACTGAGTCTCACTGTGTTGCCCCGGCTAGAGTGCTGTGGCATCATCCTAGCTCACAGCAACCTCAAACTCCTGGGCTCAAGCGATCCTCCTGCCTCAGCCTCCCGAGTAGCTGGGACTACAGGCATGCGCCACCATCCCCGGCTAATTTTTTCTATATATTTTTAGTTGTCCAGCTAATTTCTTCATATTTTTAGTAGAGACGGGGTCTTGCTCTTGCTCAGGCTGGTTTTGAACTCCTGAGCTCAAACAATCTGCCCGCCTCGGCCTCTGAGAGAGCTAGGATTACAAGTGTGAGCCACTGCGCCCGGCCTGTTACCATCTTTTTAAGAGTTTTTCACAAAATAGTTTTTCCTTTGGTCATTCACCATAGGCTTACTCATTTTTACACATTACCTTCCACACAAACATGTTTTACTTTAATTGTGGCCATAGTATGCATACTTTTTTAGATTGTTATTTTCATGACATAGCAAATTGTTTCTATAGAATCCCTATGATTATTTTAAATGATATATATATAAAGTCTTATCCAAGTCTCATTACACTAGGAGATTTGAAAAAACATGAAAGTGTAGAGAAAAATACAAAAATCACTTCATCTGGACACCTATAGAGAAAACTTATTAGTAGCTGGTCTATTTCCTAATCACAGATCATATGTAATGGGTAAAGAACATTCTGTTAGTGGGGATCCTCTTGAATAGTTCTTGTTGATCCTAAGGAATTCTCCTCCCAAGGATGAACTGTGAGAAGTGGAATTACCATATCCAGTAATCCTGACAGAGCTGCCACATCCTTGTGTGGCTGGGAAGGTGACCCAGGTGTTAGGTCACGTTGGAACCCAACATCCATGCTGAGTCTTTCTGAGCTTCACTTTTCTCCTGTAAGATATTAATTACATGAAGTAGCTGGCCGGATCCAGTGAGGTAGTGGTTTTGTGTGTTTACCAAGCTCCTTGAAGTCAAGGACGGTCTGACGTTCCCAGACCTATGGCAGAGGTGGCCGTGAAAAACATCTTCGATAAACCTTAGCTTCCAGACGCCCAGTCACTGGTTCTCATTTCAACCCTTAGTCCTGTAGGTCAGGGCGTTAAAAACCTTCCTGGTTCTCGGGCCCCTTTCCTAAGAAAACCGCACATCTTCCAACTTCAGGCGCGCCTGGACCAGCGGTTCATCCGAGCGGCCGCTCCTCTCCGGAGCCCGGGACGTCCCTGAACACTGGCCGGACCTGCGGGCGCGCGGGGGTGGCCTCGGAGAAGTGGGACTCCCGGCGCCACGCGCAGGCCGACGGCGGCCGGGCTCGGGAGGCCTGCCCGCCGCTCCGCGTCCTCCGGGCGCCCGCCAACCCTGCCTTTGGAGCCGCCGCGGAGCCAAGAGCCCCACGCCCCCGGCCCGCCCCGCGCCGCCGCTTGTTTACTCCCCGGCGCAGCCTAGTCCGACCCTGGGGCCCGCCCTCGCCAGCCGCCTATTGGCTGGGGAGGCGCGAAGGCCGGCGACGATTGGTCCGGAAGAGGCGGAGGTGCGGGGCGAGCGGGGTAGGCTGCGCGAGAGGCCGAGAGGGGGCAGCAGGCGATGGCGGCGGCGGTGGCGGGTCTGCTAGGCTGGTTTCTCGCCGCGCTCTGCCTGGGCAACGCCGCGGGGGAGGCAGCGCCTTGTCCGCGAGTGCTGGGCTTCTGTCTGGAGGAGGACGGAGCTGCGGGCGCGGGGTGGGAGCGCGGAGGGGCGGTGCGGACCGGCCCGGAGGCCACCTTCCGCCTGCGCCTCTTCGGCCGGGGCTTCGCCAACAGCTCCTGGTCCTGGGTCGCCCCTGAGGGGGCGGGCTGCCCCGAGGGCGGGCCGGCCGCGGTGTCCGAGGAGGCGGCAGCCCCCACGGGCGAGTGGCGCGCGCTGCTGCGCCTGCGCGGTGAGGCTGTGTGCCCGCACTCGGCGCTGCTGGCGGTGCGCGTGGAGCCGGGCGGCGGGGCGGCGGAGGAGGCGGCGCCGCCCTGGGCGCTGGGCCTGGGGGCGGCCGGGCTGCTGGCGCTGGCGGCGCTGGCGCGGGGCCTGCAGCTGAGCGCACTGGCGCTGGCGCCGGCCGAGGTGCAGGTGCTGCGCGAGAGCGGCTCGGAGGCGGAGCGTGCGGCGGCGCGGCGCCTGGAGCCCGCAAGGCGCTGGGCGGGCTGCGCCCTGGGCGCGCTGCTGCTGCTGGCCAGCCTGGCGCAGGCGGCCCTGGCGGTGCTGCTGTACCGCGCGGCCGGTCAGCGCGCCGTGCTTGCCGTGCTGGGCAGCGCGGGGCTCGTATTCCTGGTAGGCGAGGTGGTGCCGGCCGCAGTGAGCGGGCGCTGGGCGCTGGCGCTGGCGCCGCGCGCGCTCAGCCTCAGCCGCCTGGCCGTGCTGCTCACTCTGCCGGTGGCCCTGCCCGTGGGGCAGCTGCTGGAGCTGGCGGCGCGGCCCGGGCGGCTGCGCGAGCGCGTGTTGGAGCTGGCGCGCGGCGGCGGCGACCCCTACAACGACCTCAGCAAGGGCGTGCTGCGTTGCCGGACCGTGGAGGACGTGCTCACGCCTCTCGAAGACTGCTTTATGCTGGACGCCAGCGCGGTGCTGGACTTTGGTGTCCTGGCCAGTATCATGCAGAGCGGCTACACGCGCATTCCGGTGTACGAGGAGGAGCGCTCCAACATCGTGGACATGCTTTACCTCAAGGACTTGGCCTTCGTGGACCCCGAGGACTGCACGCCGCTCAGTACCATCACCCGATTCTACAACCATCCACTCCACTTCGTCTTCAATGACACCAAGCTGGACGCCGTCCTGGAGGAGTTCAAAAGAGGTAATAACCGGGGCATCACGGAGGGGACACCCATACCAGTGCCCTCCCCTGGAAAAGGTGTGGGGGTTTTGGAAGCTTGGAGGAAAGGGTCCCGCCCCTGTGCAGGGCAGTGAGACCTCTAAGGACCCTTTTCAAAAATGTGTTGGCCTTGCAGCTTGGAATGATCTTTTGAAATATTTAAAGGTTGTCGTTCAGAGGGGAATGGAATGCCATAGAAAGCAAACATTTTTAACTTCTTTTGGGATAGCTCCCCGCCCCGTTTGGGGGGTGTGTCCTCTTGGTTCTAACCTCCCAGCTCTTTGCCTCTCCCAGGCCTTTTCTGTGTGCTTGGCTTTGTAGCAGGTCCAAACTCTTGGATGGAAACTAAAAGAACATAGAAAAGAAAGTAGTCTCCAGATATCTGGATGCTGTTATCTGCATACACATAATATCAAATTGGCTGGACCTGTGATATTTCCAGAGCATTGTTAAGGTCCCTGACCTTATTGCAGATAAGGGAATGACTCCTAAATACTCTCCTACAGATATGGAGGAAACTTTCGCTTTGCTTTCATCAAAAGCAGTTTCATGGATGCTGATTTAATCTCCCTTTTCCCCTGTCTCCCCTTTTTTTTTTAACCTCTTTTCTAACCTTAAGTATTTCTCTCACATTCCTTTGACTCTGAATTTTAACCTCCCTGGTTTATCTGAGCAGTTCTAAGGTTGAAGGTAAAAACTTCGAGACCCTCCAAGTGTGAAGATGTGGGTTCCTCTGCAGTCCTTTCCATTGTTAGCCTTGGAGGTGCCCCCCAGAGCTTGGCCACCAGCCATGGTTCTCACACCTGAACACCTGCAGGATGGGAGTGGGGACACCCCAGGGTGCTGGATGGCTTGACCCTAAAGACTACCTGATGTGAGGTGGAGAATTGGGAAAGCCCCCTGATATTCCTGACAGCTGGGAAGTCTCCTGGCCCAGGTCCACATGGGAGGTGCTCTCTGATCCCCAGGACAGTTAGTGCAGGAAGCCAGGCTTTGTGGTAATGAGCAGTCTCTCCTGCATGGAGCACTGCCATGTGCCAGGCTCTAGTGGGCACTCTGCATGCATCATCTCTGTTAATCCTTGCAGGAGGCCTGGGTGCCAAGTTTTCTGTTATTACTGTAGATCAGGAATAGGTGGGAGACTTGGGTGGGCAGCTCCATAGACTCTGGTGCTCTTGCTGTTTCTCTGGAATATGGCCATGCAGCCCTGCTCTGGAGAGGGAACCTGGGGTGGGGTTCAGACAGAGCTTCCTGGTGGTAAGTACTCCATGTGAGCTTCCAAAGCTCCTGAGGCACTGGTGGTTTTTCTGGAGGGGTGACTGGTAGCATGGCCATGGAATCTGTAGGGTGGATTCCACCCCTTCTCTGCCTGCTCCTAGGTCCTGGGAACGCTGCTCAGCTCCTCATGGCTCAAGGTCCTCAGTTGTTAGTGATAAGAGTGGGTAAAAGGATCTGGGGGAGGAGACCCTATAAAGCACTTGCACTTTGGCCAGTGCACATGCTGAGTGTCTGTCAGTAAGGTGATTATTTATTGCTCCTGGGCAGGATTGCTGATAGGTGGTGTTTGCTAGCTCAAGAGCAAGGGGCTGAACCTGAAAGTGCAGATGCCATTTCTTCCAGGCAGGTCACCAGGCTTCCTTCTTTTAGGGGAAGAGTCTTTCATGGGAGGTCTTTTTTAGGAGTCTTTCATGGAATACCATAGTTGTCCCTTTGGTGTCATAAGCACTCATGTTTCTAGGTTCCTTAAGAAAATGCTCGCTCTAGTGTCTGGCTTTAGCTGACTCGTGCATTCTACAGCTATGAGCAGTCACCAGGCAGAGATTTGGGGCATGGGGGTGGAGGGGGTGCCCCGTCTGGAGCTAAACTGAAGGGAGAAGCTTTAGGAGTTGGTCATGATGCTCAGGCTGAGGTTAGTGAAAGCTATTTTTCATTTTCCAGACCTTTAGCGTCAGGATCTTCACTGCTGTCTGTGGTCTCGCCCTTCAGATGTGACAGTTGAGCTTGAGCCAGGGCTGTTGGTGATCCCAGTTGGGGAGAATTAAAGAGTTCAATTCACATTGATCAGGAAGGAGCCTAGAGGCAGGGTGGGCCCACAGGGGCTCATGTGCTGTGTGAGGGACTCGGACTTGATCACCAAGGCTGTGGCAGGGAGCGGTACCGTCTGGGTTGTTTTTACTGATCGGTGACTGGTCGGAAGACCAGCTGTGAGTGGGATCCAGATGAGGGATGACAGTAGCCTGACAAGGTGCACAGTGGGCCTCAAGAGGAGACCCCAGAGGGCATCAGAAGGTGGGATTGGGAAGGTTTGGTGGTTTGCTGAGGGGCTGTGGAGGGAGAGGGAGGAGCTGAGGATGAGCCCAGATTTCTGGCTGCCCTTCCTTTAAGGGCTGAGGGTGGGGAGCAGGTAAGTTTGGTTTGGATATTGGAATCTGTGTCTGTCCAGTGTCCCAAGAGGCAAATTTCTAGCAGGCAGTTCATGTGAAATGCACATGGTCCCTCAAGCCACAGGAGTGGAGCACAGAGCCTATAAACCCCAGGGGCAGGGGGAAGCGGAGGAGAAATTGTCAAAAGATAAGACCTTTGAGGGAGGAGAGCAGAGGTGCAGAATGTCCTGGAAGCTAAGGAAAAACATTTTCCAAGGGAAGGCAAGTGATCAGAAGAGGCCAGCAACCAACATGCCCTTAACCTTTGCAAGAGCACATTGGCGCCATGGTGGGAGCAATTTGGGGAACGAATGAGACATGAAGAGGTGCAAGAGCTAGCATAGACAGGCCTTCTGCAAAGTGTGGCTGCAAAGCAGGAGCCAGAGAGCACTGGCTGGCGGAGGATGTGGGACAGGGGAGGAGGCCTTCTGCTCTTTGGTGTTAAGATGGGCGAGTCAAGCAGGTTTAGGTTGAAATGATGGAGTAGGGAAAAGTGGAGAGGGAAGGCCACAGTACAGGCTGCTCCTGTTCTGGGATGGGTGGCCTCTGATCACCTCTGGAGAACTGACCAGGTTTCAAGCAGTCTAATGCCAGAGGATTTGGGGATTGAATGCCTTTCTGCTTTAATCAGACTGTTCTAGAAGCTGCCAGGCAACATGTTGAAAAGCCTCCTCCTAGAAACCAGTGGAGGAGGTTTCTGGAAGCTGACGGTTGAATGGGGAGCCTTTAACCCCCTCGACTTCCTTGCTCCTGTGGCAAGTACAGCCCTTTCTGAACTGATTCAGAATGGCCATGTCTTTCCAGGGACATCTGGAGCTTTCTTGCTTCTCTAGTTTAGTGCAGTCCTTTGGTGGGTATCTTTATTTTTCTTTGTTAAAGTCCTTCTTGTCTTAACCTTCTTAGCCATTCCTGTGCTTATGAACAAAGGGCATGTTGCAGTCTTCATGTGCGTGAGGTTTTAAAAATCATTTCCCTTCCCCATCTCTGCCAAGCGTGTATAGTGGTGGTACCCTCTGAATTTCCTGGAGCTGGAGTCCCTGGCATCTTGGCAGCTGCCATTCCAGGCCCCGTTACTTTTGCTGCATCTGTTCGGGAGCTTTGTAACCTGGTCACCCCTCAGTTAGTGCAGACTTGAGATGACACCAATTATTTTGTGCAGATATCCCCAGGAAGAGTGAGTGCTTTGGAGCCGTAGTAAATAAATTGTGCAGCAGCTCCTTCACTTATGATGGGGTTGGGTCCTGGTAAACCTGTTGTAAATTGAAAGTGCATTTAATACACCTAACTTAACATCATAGCTTAGTCTAGCCTACCTTAAATGTGCTCAGAATGCTCACATTAGCCTACATTTGAGCAAAAGCATCTAACACAAAGCCTATTTTATAATGAAGTGTTGAATATCTCATCTAATTTATTGAACACTATACTGAAAGTGAAAAATAATAGCTGTATGGATACTTGAAGTATGGTTTCTACTGAATGTGTATGGCTTTCACACCATCGTAAAGTTGAAAAAACTGTAAGCCGAACCATCTTAAGTCAGGGACTGTAAAGCCATTAACCCCTGTCTTCTTTGTCAACCCAAGTGAGACTATTCAAGGGCATTGTTCCAAGGAAAGGATTAGGCTGAATAAGCTTTTCAAAGTCTCTGCTTTAAACCAGCTGAGTTCTGGTTTACTGTCTGAAGGAAGCCAAATGATTGCCACAACGCGGAAGGAGTGTTCACAGTTACTTTTCTCTTTCTCTTAGTACTCATTCACCCAGTTGGTTTAGAAAACAAAAAAGGGGAGGAAGGGAAGGGGGAGGAGATTAAACTTCGACTGCATTGTTAGAATATCCTAGAAATCAGGCATTATGAAATAATTGGAGTACCCTTAAGCCTGATAATGAAAATTAAAACTCAGCTGGGTGCGGTGGCTCACACCTGTAATCCCAGCATTTCAGGAGGCCAAGGTGGAAGGATTGCTTGAGGCTAGGAGTTTCAGACCAGGCTGGGCAACATCGTGAGACCCCCTTCTCTACAAAAAATTTAAAAATTAGCCCTGTGGTCCCAGATGCTCAGGAGGGTAAGGTGGGAGCATTGCTTGAGCCCTGGAGTTTGTGACTACAGTGAGCTATGATAGTGCCACTGCACTCCAGCCTGGGTGACAAAGTGAGACCCTGTCTCAAAAATATAAAATAACAAAACTCTATACAGCTTTTCCAGAGCTTTCTGGTTGGTGTCAGCAAGATGCGCCGTTGCACCCTCCTGTGACTCTAGAGGTCGCTCAGCAAAGAGTGCAGGTGCACCTATGCGAATAGTTCATCCAGTCGGGCGCTGGGCCTCTGTGCTGTCAGGGCAGTTTGTCCTCCCAGAGGAGAAGTGAACTTTAATCCCTCCAGCTGCCCCGTTCTGTGCCTGCTGCTTGCTTTGGTTGCCTCCGGACCCCTCAAGACATTGTGTCTTGACATTAAATCACATGGCCACTGCTCTGGGGACTCTTCAAGCCCTGCTTGCTTCTGTTTATTATTGAATCATCCAGTGTGGCAGGTCACAGAGAAACGTGCCTATTTTATGGCAGTTTGAAAGCAAAGGAGAAGTTAATCCCATCCTGTCGGTTACCTGCTGAAGGGAGCGGCTTCGTGGAAGAAAGGGCTGAGAAGAGGCCTGTCTGCTCAAAGGCGGCCATTGAGAACCTGGGCTTTGGTTCCCAGACTGCTGGCCAGAACCGTGTATCGCACCCTTGGCCTTGCTGGTCTGGCCTTGGCCAGACAGGTTTGTATTCTGTGGCAGGGCAGCCGTGGCCCTTGCACAAACACAGAGGGAAAGAAGGCATCTGGGGCCGCCGCGCTCCTGGGCCAGTGCCTCTGGCTCAGCAGGACTGAGTGGAGTTCTCCAGGACCCCCGGCCTTTCCTCCTGTGAAGGGGGAGACGAGGTTATGGGGTCATTTCCGCCTTTAATTTTTGTCCAAGGGTATTCGAGCCATCCTGAAGGATGATGCTTTATTTAATTAAGCCCACAGTATGCAAAGTATGATTCAGACAAAGATGTGAACTTGATTTTTTAATTCCTCAAAAGATTCTTGAGGCAAATACCCCCTCGCATGCAGGTCCAGGCCGGCTTTTGCCCTCAGCTTTTTTCACTAGTGATAAAGAAGGGCATAGTTGAGATGAGTTGCTCCCAGTTCCCTATCTCAACCTGTGGCTGTGAGCACCTGAAAAGTGACAAGTCAGAGTTGAGATGTGCTGTAAGTGCAAAGAACACACAACGGATTTCAGAGACTTAGTGCAAAAGAAAGGTTAAAAGAGCTTGTTTTTGGTATATATAGATTACAGATTAAAATATATTTTGACTATATTGGGTTACTTACAATATATTATTAAACTAATTTCACCTGTTTCTCTTGAATTTTTTAATGCAGATACTCAACGATTTTTTTTTTTTTTTTTTTGAGACAGAGTCTCGCTCTGTTGCCTGGGCTAGAGTGCCGGGGCGTCAGCCTCGCTCACAGCAACCTCACACTCCTGGGCTCAAGCGATCCTACTGCCTCAGCCTCCCGAGTAGCTGGGACTACAGGCATGTGCCACCATGCCCGGCTAATTTTTTTATATATATATTTTTAGTTGTCGAGCTAATTTCTTTCTATTTTTAGTAGAGACGGGGTCTCGCTCTTGCTCAGGCTGGTCTTGAACTCCTGAGCTCAAACAATCCGCCCGCTTTGGCCTCCCAGAGAGCTAGGATTACAGGCGTGAGCCACCGCGCCCGGCCTTCAACAATTTTAAATTACACACATGGCTTGCATTCTGTTTCTTTCAGACAAGTCTAAAGTTATGGATGAAAAGCACTTACCAGATGCAGAGTAAATTCCTGAAGCTTCCCCGACATTGCCCAGTGCTCTGAGACTTCGACTTTTTTTGCAAGCTTGTTTCCTCACTAAACACACCAAATAGGAAACTAACATGAGAAGGGCACATAGGAGCAAGGTGGAAAGTTCTAGCCTTTGCTCTTCTTCTTTGCACAGCCTGGCCTCTGAATGGCCATTTATCTTCATCCCCTGGATGAAACCCCTCTAAAGGGCAGCTTCTAGAACCAGGAGGACCTCCCACAGAGTCAGGTTGGGAGGCCCTGCTCTGCTCCCCTATTTAGACTGTCCCGGGGAGCCTGCGTTTCTGAGGGTGCTGCCCTGGTAGCTCGTGTCTGCAGTCTGGTTGCTGTATGAACATTAGTGTTCTCAGCTGGATGCATCCTTATCTAAACCGCATCATGGCTGGGAGTCGCACAGACCTGGGGGGCTGGATCCCAGCTCTGCCCTTCTCTGCCTGGGGGCCTTATGCAGATGAGCATGATCCTCTGAGATTTCCTTTTTCGATAGGTAAAGTGAGGCTAATCCTCATAAGCATATTGAGAGCCTTAAGTAACAACCTAGGAAAGAGTCTGGCCTAGTGCCCAGCACACTTTAGGACCATGAACATGAGCTTTTGTCCTTTTGGTGGGCTTGTCCTAGGGGAAACTAAGAAAAATGGGAGGCCCCTGGCAGGCTGTTACATGAGTGTCCTCCCCAAACAGGGAAGTCCCACCTGGCCATCGTGCAGAAGGTGAACAATGAGGGCGAGGGTGACCCCTTTTACGAGGTCCTGGGCCTGGTCACCCTGGAGGACGTTATCGAGGAGATCATCAAGTCTGAGATCCTGGACGAGTCTGAAGACTATCGTGAGTTTTGGCTTCTGGCTTTGGTTTTCTGTCTCGGCTGGTCCTTAAGCTTCCAGAGGTACATGTGTACCAGAGGCCAGTGGGTCTCTTTGCTGCTGGAAGCCAGCTAGGTCCCCAGCCAGGCCCCATTCTTCTTAGCCCTGCAAGAGCCAGCATTGCCTCCTCTCAGGAGCTGCTCACACCTGCACTTCGTCGGTGCAAGCCGCGGTGGCCCATCCCAGCGGAGGCCTTGTAATCCCAGTGCTTGCTTGGGGCTCCATGGGCAGCCGTCTGTTTGTTTCCTCCACCACTGAGGGAAGGCCCTGCCCTTCACGGGCCTTTTCCATTCTTCCGTCTTCCCTCGTGCTTTTGTTTTCACAGGTTCTTTACTACCAAGAGTCTTACCAAAGCATCTGATCCAGGGGCCCTTGATGGCACCTTAGGAGTATCTCCCTCGTAGGGTGACACGGGGCAGACACAGAGCCTGTGTTTGGCTGGGGTCGCCCACCCCTATGAATTTTTACTTGTGTTGTTTTACCCACGCGTCTGTCGCCAGCACAGCATCTTTAGTTTGGTCCCCAAGATGGCCGTAGGCATGGCGTCTCCAGGTTAGCTGCTGCCGTCTTGTGCCAGTAATCCTCAAATACACATTTCCCAGCCACAGGTCTCTTGATGGCCAGGGAGGCCTGTTATTTTATATAAGCTGCGTTGCTGCCATATCAGCATTCTCTTCAGCCAACTCCAAGGCAAGGAGCAGTCCTTTCTGCACTTCTTGGGATGTATCTGGAACGTGGGCTGCTTCCCCTCGGTCCTGGGCACTGGGATTGCTGTATGGTGGAAATGGCAGCCGGGTGCCCCGGACAGGTCCCTGGGGTTCTGATGTCATCTACCTTGACACCACCTGGCCTTGGGAAGAAGGAATGGGCAGCATGGCCCCTTGGTTTGGTCACATTGATCGGACGGGCTGCTCTGCCTAAGCATGCCATCTTCTTCCACCTCAGGAGACGGCGTGGTGAGGAAGAAACCTGCCTCTCTCATCGTCCCTCTCAAGCGGAAGGAGGAGTTCTCCTTGTTCAAGGTGTCTGATGATGAATATAAAGTAAAAATCTCACCTCAGCTGCTCTTGGCCACCCAGCGCTTCCTTTCCCGAGGTGAGGGGGTAGGGTGGTCCTTGCCCCCTGCTCTCGCTCACTGCTGGGTCCGGAGACCACCCAGGGCCTGCACTGACTCTGCTCCCCATGCCTAGTCAGCAGAAGAGTCTTGAGGAGAACTTCTGTGCTTTTCTCTGCAACCCTGCCAGCATCTTGGGTCACCTGAGAGGCGGCTCCTCTCTACCAGGTGGTCGAGAGCAGGGCCAGGTGGTGCCGCACCTGGTGGGCACAGCGCCTCAGCGGGCAGGTGTGTGCCCTGCCCCGCTCTCTCGTGTGGTGTGGAGGCACGGAGGCATGGCATCTCGCAGGCCGTCCGGGGAGAGCCCGGTGGGCAACAGGAGTAGGGTGCGGCTACATATGCCACTGTGGCTGTGGTGGACACTGTCCCTTTTTTCTACCATGGGGCAGAAGTGGATGTATTCAGCCCCCTGCGAATCTCCGAGAAGGTCCTGCTGCACCTGCTTAAGCATCCCAGTGTCAATCAGGAGGTGAAGTTTGATGAGAACGACCGCCTGGCCGCACACCATTACCTGTACCAGCGCAGCCAGCCGGTGGATTACTTCATTCTCATCTTGCAGGTGACTGGGATCCCAGGCCTGGAGCCTCGCGCTTCCTCAGAGACTAGGGAGGGCTATGAGAACAGGTGGGGAGCAGGGAGATCCCCCCGCCCCTGAATAATCGGGGTTGTTGGTTCCTCCGTTTGCTTGCTCTCTTCTCTTGGAAAAGGTAATCTGTTGCATCTGTTTCTCTCCCTTGCCCATCCGCCTGCCCAGGGCAGGGTTGAGGTGGAGATCGGGAAAGAGGGCCTGAAGTTCGAGAATGGGGCCTTCACCTACTATGGAGTATCTGCCCTGACAGTGCCGTCCTCTGGTAAGCACAGCCCCCCATTCCCGCCAGAGCCCACCCCCGCCACCAGGCGGCCTGTTGTGTCTGGGCTGCCTGGAGGGCGAGGGCAGCATTTCTTCATTGCTCATCTTCGTTGCTCACTCCCGTCCCTGCAAAACATCCTCTTCCAACTTCCTACCCATGTTCCTTCTCCAGGGCGATTTGTGGTGGGGTGGGTCTCTGAGGCTGTGTGCTTGTCCTCGTCAGGATGGGGGTAGGCTGCCCAGCTCCAGCTTCTGCCGTCACTGATTGTTCCTTTTGATAGTTCACCAGTCGCCAGTGTCCTCACTCCAGCCCATCCGCCATGACCTGCAGCCCGAGCCAGCCGATGGCACCCGCTCTTCCGCGTATTGTCCTGACTACACCGTGAGAGCACTCTCTGACCTGCAGCTCATTAAGGTGACAATAATAAGGGCTGATCATGAGTGCTGGCTTTAGCTGGCTTTGTCTCCCCAAGGGGCTAGACCAGCTAGTCCCAGACTGCCCAGAATAAGGCCCCGCATTTGCCTTGCAGGACAGGCTTTGGCTCCCTGGAGGTCCCACTTGACTATTGGTGGTCTGGTCCCATCTCCAGGCCTCTGCACTCACTTTCTTACAAACACTGCTCAGTTGCTTTTTTCTGCCCTTAACTAGCTTAAAGTTCTTCCTTTGTCCTTTTCCAGCATGGTGTGACCTCTTGAGCCTGTCTTTTGCATCTCGCTTCACAAATCGCATCTGCTGGGTAATGCTTCTCGTCTTCTAGGTTACGCGGCTGCAGTACCTCAACGCACTTCTGGCAACGCGAGCCCAGAACCTGCCACAGTCCCCTGAGAACACCGACCTCCAGGTCATCCCAGGCAGCCAGACCAGGCTTCTCAGTGAGAAGACCACTACTGCGGCAGGTGAGTGCCAAGCAGCACGCCCTGTGGTGTGTCTGGACCCCGTGGCCAGGAGCTCTTGGCCAGTCCTTGCTTCTCACACACACCGGCTTGCTCTCTCCTTGCTCTGCCCTGCCCTGTGTTCTTGTCTCTCTGTTTTTCTCCCTTTTCCCTTCTTGTTGTTTTTGGTAGCTTGAATGACACTGAGCTATGGACCAACTGGTATTTAGTCTGTTAAGTCAACATTCTCCCTCAAAGACTTCTTAGAATGGAATTACTTAATTAGAGAATTGTTGGTAAATGGGAATAAGATGTAATTCGGACACACTTGGCCATTTAGGGTTACGTTACTTGGAAAATGAAGATTTGGGTCAGTAGTACCCTGGCTCAGAGGGGTAGGTGGGTGGTGGACACCATCCCAGAAGCTGGAGGGCACTTGGTGAGGAGCTTGGTCAGTCCATTGCTGACATGGAAAGCACCTTCCATCTGAGGGCTCCATTGTGAGCAGGAAGATCATGTTGAAAGAAACAGACTTTGCAAATAAGAATGAGGGGCTGTGGGACGGAGGGAAATTCAAAAGTAGCCTGAGGTGTGGGCTGTGGGTTGGAGTGTGAAAAGTCAGGGGCTTTCTTGTTCTCGGGTTTGAAGAAGATACCTTTCTTTTTTTTTTTTTTTGGTAAGACAGGGTCTTAGTTTGTGGCCCAGGCTGGAATGCAGTGGCCTCATGATAGCTCACTGCAGCATTGAACGCCTGGGCTCAAGTGATGTTCCTGCCTTAGGCTCCTGAGTAGCTGGGACTACAGGCATGTGCCACCATGCTTGGCTAATTTTTCTATTTTTTGTAGAGACAGGGTCTCGTTCTTGCTAAGACTGGTCTCATACTTCCTGGCCTCAAGCAATGCTCCTGCCTCAGCTTCCCAAAGTGCTAGGATTACAGGCATGAGCCACCCTGCTTGGCCAGAAACGTGCTTTTATAAAAGTCCTTTCTGAATTGTGAGGTGACGCAGGTATAAGGGACACAGAACCCCACCCTGGGCCACACTGATGGCTCAGCCCTGTGGGTTCCAGCTCTGAGTATTGGTAAAAGGGCAGGTGAGGCTGTGCTTAAGTCGTAGATCTGGGCGTGGGTTGCTCTCTTTCTAAAGAAGTCTCTAAAGATGCTGCTGTACTTTTATATATATGTGTATATATATATATGTATACACACACACATATATTTGTGTGTGATGTGATGTATATAAATGTATATATGTGTATGTATATATTTAGAGACAGGGGTCTTGCTATGCTGCCCGGGCTGACCTTAAACTCCTGGGCTCAAGCGATCCTCCCACCTCAGCCTCTTGAGTAGCTGGGATTACAGGTGTGCACCTCCATGCACAGCTGGTGGTGCACCTTTTATGGTTGACTAAGCTCCTGTGTTTACCCACTGTAATGTTACTTTATGGGGTATCCCTTGTAAAGAATTTCACACTGTCACATTAGACTTGGGTCTCAGGGGCCAATATGTTGTGTTCTTTAAAATGTGAGCCTTTTGGGTTTGGTTTTCCCACTGGCTCCACCTGCTACTCAGACTGCACGTGTTATATTGAAGGTACAGACCTAACCCAGGAATGATGGTTCTCCCGTTGTTGCATCTTTTATCATATAACCAGAGAGTCTTAAAAATCCTCTTGGCTTCAGCTACTCATTGGGCCGTCCTCTAAGAGAATAATTTATAGTGGCTTTCTGGGTCCTTTCCTCTTTGTAACTGATTATCCACTATTCTATAGACATACTGTTGGTTATTTTCACCTAAGTGCAACCTGACAGTTGCCCCCAGTGAGGGTTGCCCGCTGTCTTTCGGCTCCTTGCCTAAACTCTCTGGGGTCTTGCTGCAGATTGTCCCTGTTAGTTTGGCATGTCACTGCCCAGAGCAGCTTAATGTTGGTGCACACATGGAGATTTCAGTGGGGGCAGTGCTTAAGTAGTGCAGGTGAAAACCATTTTCTGGAGACTTTGGCACTAAATCCCTGGGAGAAAAATACCTTTATTGAGATGCTTGGAAGGCCCAGTAATTTTAAATTGCCAACAGCGGGGGTTGGCAAAGGGCCAAAATCTGGCCAGCTGCCTGTTTTTGTAAATAAAGTTTTATTGGAACCTGCCCCATCTGTTCATGGATTGTATGTGGCTGCCTTTGAGTTACAACAGTGGAGCTGAGTTGTTGTGACCCATACCGTATAGCCTACAAAACCTAAAAATACTGGCCCTTGTCTGACCCGTGTCTTACCATTTCAACTTCTGAGTCCTCCACATTAGTCATCCACGGAACTGTTTTTCCAAGGGAAAGTCAGCGCTCGACGCTGTGCTTCCCGACTTCCCTCTGCCATCCGGAGCAGCAGCTGAGGCATCTGCAGCACTGCCCCCCTGGCTGGGGAGTTGGTCCCCTTCATGGTGCTGCCTGGAGCCGAGAGGCACTGCTGCTTCAGCTCAATGGCTTTTCTCCTCTTCTTTCTCTCTGCTCTCTTTAGCCTTCCCAGTAGACCTTTCCCTCTTTGGCACATTTGGAAACTGCAGTTGATAAGTGACTGTGGACTAGTGAGCATTTTTTGTTTTAAGAGAACACCCAAGGTAAATATCTTCCCTTTCCCTTTCTCCCTGCTTTCCTTTCCCAGCCCTTTAGCTGTGGGACAAGCGGTGCAGACAGCCCCCTACACTGGGAGGCATTTCCCTGCAGTGGGGAGTGGGTGCCACATTTCATCTTTCTGAAAAACAGGAGGGATCATGAAACACTGCAGCCTTGGAAAATAAAGCTTCCTTCTAGCAGAGGGCGCTTTATTGTCCCAGGCAGGTTCCTCCAGCGTAATGGCCTCTGGGCCCCCTGGGGTCAAAAACCAAGAGAGAGTCTTAAAAATCCTCTTGGCCTGCATTCCAGGTCTCTCAGGGGTGGCATGTGTCCTCAGTGGTTTTCTCTTGTGAGGCTGAGTTAGGCTGTTTCCTAACTGATCACTCCCAGCCCTGCCTTGATTCCTCTAAGGTATTTTGAGGCCCTTCTGCCTTACCTGCCCCTTCCTGTCCTAAAGAGGAGTTAGCACTTGGTTTGGATAGGACTCTTCCGCTACTGGCTTTGATACTAATTTGCCTTTCCCTCTCCTTTAGGGTCCAGCTACAGCAGGCCCAGCGTCCCAGTGGAGGAGAGCCCTGGGCGGAACCCAGGAGTTTAACTGTTTGCCAGGCAGCCCCAGATGTGGGGAGCGGACAAGCGTGTGGGGAGCTGGAGGGAACTGAGCAGAAGCTTCGTGCCAGCCTGCCCCCACTCCTCCAGGCCACGTTTTAGATGGCCCTTGTAGATGTGGGTCCTGGGCATCCTCAGAATCGGGCATCGGTGCCTAGCACCCTCAGCAGGCCCTGCCCTCCTTTAGGAGGTGGGGTCAGCAAGGCACAGCCCTCCAGGCCTGCTTCTTCTGGAAGGAATGAAAGGAATATCATCATCTCTAGTCCCCAGGGCCCAGCCTTCCCTGCTCCCCTGAGGCTGTGACAGTGCAGTGTATTTATACCTCTTCAGGCCAAGCCACCCAAGTGAGTGCACAATTACTGCCTTTGTGTGGCTGTGACCTGTACTCACTTTGCTTTTTCCCAGTCTTCTGCTGCTGGCAGCACTTTCTGAACAAACAGAGAACACCAGTTTTGGCTGGGGGTTCAAATCCGTGGCCTCATCCATGGTGTGCTTTCTGGTTTCCCTGACAATGCCACGTTTCAGAGCATGCACCCCAGCCTCTCCCCTGTGCCAAGCCAGAAGCACGGTTGGTTACCCACCAGTCTGTCCCTCTGGTCCTGCTCCCTCCTGTGGAGGTTGCTTTTTTGACCCCTTCCAGGGCCCCGAGCGAGCTGGCCCTGGTGGCGCTGAGGGGCCTGCTCCCGTGCCTGCTGTGCGGAGTTGCCACTAGCAGTATTGTTGGTTTCTGTGTTCTAAGAGGTCATGCCTGGGAGGAAAGGACCTTCTTGCTGCATCTAATCCTTTCTTCCTTGTGTGATCCCAGAGGAGAGCAATGCCTGTTAGATCTGCTTCATGCCTTTCCCACAGGCCTCCATGGAGGTGTATGTGGCTGTAGTGTGCAGAGCAGCAGGGAGGGGGAACTGTTTATGAACCAGGTGAACCCTCATTACCTTTCTTAAAAAAAAAAAATAAGTTTTTCTTATATCTCTAAAACATTTCAAGTTCTTTGCTTTTTTCTGTTCCTAGCTACCAGGTTTTAGAGAAGTGGGAACAAGAAGGCATTTATCTTTTTCTTCTAATTCATCTATATTTTCCTTCCACAGTTCTTCAGCTGTGTGGAAACTGGGGTATCACAGGGACATAGGATCATAGATTGGGGAGGGAGGAGGATTTCTGGAACTTTTCTCAAAGGAATTTGGGCCCTTATAAATGGGACCAAAGGCCACAGAAAAGTGTATGCTTGTTCAGAAATTGTTCTCAAGGAGTGCACTCTAAGAGCAAACCCAGGTGGGAAACAAATACTTTGAAATCATCTCTCCAGAACAGTGGTTCTTAACCTTGGCTGCACATCGGAATCACCTGGCAAATTAAAATACTGATGCCTCAGCCTGTCCCCAGGGCATCTGATTTAATCAGCCTGGGCATCAGGGTTTTATATTTTCAAAATGTCTTTAGATTTCACTGAAGGGTTTCATATACCTTTCACCCAGCTTCCCCTAATGGTAACATAACCTTGGTATATTTATCAAAACTAAAAAATTAGCATTGGTGCAATGATACATGATACTGTTAACTAAACTACAGACTTAATTTGGATTTTACCATTTTTTCCAGTAATGTCCTTTTGCAGGATACAATCCAGGATATCCAGTTGCACTTAGAGCTAATGCTTTTTTCCCTAACTTTGTATTTTGAAATAATTAGATTCATAGGAAGTTGCAAAGATAGAGTTCCCATACATCCTTCATTCAGTCTCCCTCAATGGTTATATCTTACATAATTAGAATATAGTATCAGAACCAAAACTTTGACCCCTGTGCGATGTGGGTGTATAGTTCTACATCATTTTGTCACATACACATTTATGTAACTGTTGCAATAATCGATACAGAACTGTCTCATCACCACCGAGATCTCCCTTGGACTAACCCTTTACACCCTTCCCCCACCATCCCTTACTCCTGGAAACCACTGATCTGATCATCTCCATTATTTTGACATTTCAAGAATGTATGAATGGAATCGTACAGTGTGTAAGCATTTGAGATTGGCTTTTTTTCACTCAGCGTAATTCTCTGGATATTCATCCAGGTTGTTTCATGTGTCAGTAGATGATTCCTCTTTATTGCTGAGTGGTATTCCATGGTATGCTCGTCCTGGTGAAGGACACCTGGATTGTTTCCAGTTTTTGGTTATTTCAAATAAAGCTGCTGTGAACATTTGTGTACAGGTTTTTGCGTAAAGATTAGTTTTTTCTCTGGGATTAAATGCCAGGAGTGCAATTTCTAGGTAATAACGGTTGTTGTATGTTTAAGTTTTTAAAGAAACAGCCAAACTTTGTCAGCATGGCTGTGCAGTTTTTGTTCTCACCAGCAGCGTAGGATGCTTGTTTTTCCGAGTGCTCACCAGCATTTGCTGGTGTCACTATTTTGCACTTCAGCTGTTCTGATAGCTGTGCAGTGATACCTTGTGGTTTCCATTTGCCTTTCCCTGGTGGCTAATGACGTACACCTTTTCATGGGTTTTCTCTTGGGTGGAAGAGTCCACGTCTTTCACCCATTTTCTAATGGGATAGTTTGTCTTTTACTGTTGAGTTTTGAGAGTTCTTTACTCTATTTGAGAATCCTTTGTTGGATTTTGGGTTTGCAAATATGTTTTCCCAGTCTGTAGCTTATATTTTTATCCACTTGACAGGGCCTTACACAGAGCAAAAGTTTAATTTTGATGACGTCCATTTTATCAGTTGTTTTAGTGGATTGTGCTTTTAGTGTCACAGCTAAAAACTACCTAGTCTTAGATCCCAAAGGTGGTCTGTTTTTTTCTACAAGTTTTATAGTTTTACATTTAAGTTCTTAATCCATTTTGAGTTAATTTTTGTATAAGACATAGGACGTAGGTCAAGGTTCTTTCTTTTTTTTTTTGCCTATAGATGTCCAATTGCTCTGGCACTGTTTGTTGAAAGGGCTTTCTTTTCTCCACTGAATAGTTTTTGCACCTTTGTCAAAAGTCAGTTGAGCATATTTGTGTGGTCCTATGGGTTGTGTTCTCTGTCCCATTGATCTACGTGTCCTTCTGCCAATACCACACTCTTGGTTATTGTAGCTATATGATAAGTCTTAAAATCAGGTAGACTGATTCCTCCTTTCACTTTATGCTTTTTAAAATTTGTTTTAGCTATAAACTTTCATATGGATTTTAGAATAATCTTATCTATACCTACAAAATATCTTGCTGGGATTTTGGTTGGAACTGTGTTAAACCTGTATATTTGGGGGAGAAATGACATCTTTACTGTGTTGCGTCTAACAATCCATGAACATAGTATGTCTGTTTATTCAAATCTTTGATATCATTCATCAGTGTTCTATAATTTTCAGCATGCAAGTCCTTACATGTTTTGTTAGATTTAATCTGAAGTATGTCATTTTTTTTAAGCAATTGTAAACAGTACTTTATTTTTAGTTTTTGTGTCCACATGTTAATTGCTAGTAGGTAGAAAGAGGTTTTTGTATGTTTATCTTGTAACCTGAGATCTTGCTGAACTCCCTTATTCTAGGTGGGTGTCTTTGTTTTCTGTAGATTCCTTAGGATTACCTACATAGATAAGCATATCATCTGCATGATAGTACCAGTACCTGGGTCCCACCTTCCAGGCTTCTAACTTAATCAGTCTGGACTTTAGGACTTTTAAAACCTTCTTTGGGGATTCTGATAAACAGCTGAGGCTGAGAACCATTGCTCTTTGAACTAACTTCTCCATCAATTAGCAAAGATGCCTTGAGCACAGGAGCCAAGTGCTGGGAACCCACATACTGCCCACTCCTCACTTGGTGGCCTGTCTTGCTGTCAGCCATCATGGTTAACACGCTGGGGCTTTGCTGCTGAGGACAAGGCCTTGGGCTCTGCTAGGCAGTCCCTGGGGCCCAGTGTACTGGCTCCTCCAGCCCAGAAAAGACGAGTAAGCTGTGATGGATAATCAACCATTTTTTAATGAACAAAAAAATACTGATCCGTATAAAAAGGTGTTTTTGTCTGTCGCTTAAGTGTCCTCATTTTCTAGATGAGGAGTTGTCTTCTCCATGGTCTTGAATGCCTGTTTCGCCCATGGTGCCAGCGTCTCAGTGCATGCTGGCTCTGTCACCACAGGGCAGGGGCTGCCCATGGAAAGGTGTGTGGAGCACTTGTCAGCTTTTTCATGTAGTAACAATGGCCTTGGTCTTGGCCTGAGAAGGCCACCAAAGTTAGACTAAAAATAACTGCTGCAAAATGGGTATCACCCAGGTACCTTATGTAAGCCAAGACCCATGTGAGGGAGGCTAAACCTTCATCTTTTAGCCCTTCTCTCAGCCTGTGGTTCTTGGTTTAGAGCAAGAGTGCTTTAAAATTCACTCTGGCATTTAAGGGCCCAGCCCTGCCAGTAGTATAGGTCTACACCAGTGAAACTTGAAACGTAAAGAATGATGCAAGAAGGAGCCTTTAGGGAGCTATTGTAAGGGTGAGTCATCATTATACCCCCGTTAGAAGACAAAGGGCAGGAGGGAATGCCCCTGCCTTCCCCTGCTTCCCCATGGGCTAAGCTCAGAGCTCCCCAGTGTCCTGTCCTCTAGGTGGGATCAAGCAGAGTGGATGTAGCTGCAGGGTTCCAGGCAAGAGGTAAAACTTAAGTACCGGGGGACATTAGCGCCTCAGGCAAACTAAGGTTACGGGCCACCGCCCCAAGAGTTGGGTGGGCCACAAGCAATCCCCAGCACCCAGGCACTTTACCCCTACAATGAGCACTACCAGCCAGCCCAACAGTGTGGCAGGCAGGCCTGACCAAAGCCTTTAGACAAGTGGGCACGAGGTTCCCCTCAAGTATCAGCTCCAGCTCATCAGTCTTGGGGCTTCTGGGGCAACCTTGTGGGTCATGGACTTCTGGTGCTGTGGAGCCTCAATCCAGCCCCTTCCAGACTGTCAGAACCCACCTCCAGTGTCCTTAAGACCAAAGTTGTCTGGAGCCACTCCAGACACTATCAGGGTTGCTGCTGATAGGAATGGAGTCCTCTGGAGAAACCCCTGCCCAAGGCATTGGCCGGGTGCAGAAACACCTGGCACCTGTGTGGCCTGCTTTGGTTGCTCTTGCATGTCCTGGATGGCAGCTGCTGGCCACAGGCTCAGTCACCACCTGCAGGAGACTGGCCCTTGTGCAGAGCAAGGGCCAAACCTCCCAGACTCGGGATTAGTGGACACTGAGGAAGTCTAGCACCCAGCCCTGGGTAGCTCGGGCCTGGGGCTGCTCGCTTCCTGTTCCATCTTGGCTCCCACTCTTCTTCCTGGCCCTCATCTGGACCCACTTTGCTTTCTGCTGCCCTGTGGTCCTCTGCTTCAGCCCTTTTCGGCTCTAGCCCCAGCAGGGAACGCAGCACCCCTTGACATGCCAAGCCGGGGAGGCCTGCGTTTTCCACCTGCTGGGCTCACCGCTGCTCCTCAGTTCTGACAGGGCTGCCTTAGAGGCCTGAGGAAGCAAAGGCCTGAGAGAGGAATCAGACTGGGGCAAGAACCACAGAGGGTGCAGATGCAGGGGAGGGGAGGGGATGGAATGGTGGCTGTGGGTGACCCACAGGCCTGCTGTTGTCATTAGCACCGGGTGCGGGGATGTGCAACATGGGCCTGCAGTGCTTCCTGGATGCCCCGCTGCCAGTCTCGGGCCAGCTGCACTGGAGTCAGGGAGGCCTGGGAACAAGGATGATGGGTCAGTCCTTTCCTCCCAGGAGCTCTGTCCAGCCTCCTTGGAACAGGTGCCAGGCCCTGGGCCCTGCTGACACTCACCCCATTCTGCACACCCAGCTTGGCTCCATAGAGCAGCAGCAGCTTCATAGCTTTGTAACGGCCATGCCGCACAGCCTCATGTAGAGCTGTGTCCCCTTCCTGTTGAGAACGGGAGAAGTCATGCTCCTGCCCTCATCATGCAGGAAGGTTGGGTTGGCAGGGGCTGTCACTGAGCAGATAGCACCTTTCGTCCTGCCCTTTGGCTTGGGCTCCTCAGTCACTATCCCCTTTGCCCACAGCTGGAAGACAAAGTGCTTACCTTATCCTGTGCGTTGATGTGGGCTCCACACTCAATGAGGTGCTCCAAGCAGTCGGAGTGCCCAGTGCGCACTGCCACGTGTAGGGGGGTGCTCCAGATCTAAAAGCACGTGGGGATTAGTGTTGGGTCTGGACTGGCAAGGCCGCCTCCCAGTCCCACAGGGCCACACTTTCTCTTCTCCAGGAATAGCACCCACTCCCCTGTGCACTGCTCAACTGAGCCCCCTAACAGGCACCCAAAGTGGCGTGCCCCTCACCTTGTCCCGGGCGTTGACCCGGGCTCCCTGGTTAAGCAGCTGTTTGAGGATGTCCAGGTGTCCTCCACGGCAGGCCCAGAACATGGGTGTCCTGTCCAGCTGCAAAACAAAAGCACCAAAGCACTCTGACCTGCTGGGATGCTAGGCAGGGCATTGGCCCCAGGATGGGCCATCCCCAGTTCTCACCAAGTCCCGAGGGTCCACAGTGGCACCTGCCGCCAGCAGCTTGTTCACCAGCTGGCTGTGGCCCTTCAGACAGGCCCAGTGCAAGGCTGTGCGGTGGAGCTGCGGGCAGAGACAGGATATCAGGTGGAAGGAATGCAGCCTCTAGAGAGGCTCCACCCGTTCCCGTTCTCAGGGCCAGGTCCCTGAACAGAGTTGCCTATTGCCCCATCATGCAAAGGGCTTCTCCCTGCCCTCCCTCTGGTGGCACCACCGGCTTCATGCACATAAGACTGGAAATTGCTGCAGCTTCCCAGGACAGGACCAGAACACACTGAAGACAGCACTTCTGCAGCCCCGCTTGTGCTACCTTGTCATGGGCATTGGGGTCCCCTCCGTCTGCCAGGTACTTGTCAGTCAGGGCCTCCTGGTTCTCAGCAGCTGCCTTCAAGAACATCTCCAGGTCCACAGACTCCACCTGGGCCTGGGGCTGCGGCTGGGTAAGTTGAAGGACAAGACCAAATCACTCCCCAAGACTGGGTACCCGTGACAACACAGCTTCGCCAGTCTGGCCCAGTGGTTCCCAAGCAGCTGATTGAGGACCAGCACACTCTTGGCACGTGCAAATGTAGTTTTGATTTTTAATCCATCCCCAGGAGATTCTGATTGAACAGACATTGTGTCTGTGTGTGTTACGGATGAACTCGTTCCCCCCCCCAGTGCCTCAGCACAAGACCTTATTTGGAAATAGAGTCATTATGGATATAATTAGTTACAGTGAGGTCATACTAGAGTAGAGTAGGCTCCTATCCAGTATGGCTTGTGTTAAAGTGGGCCCTAATCCAGTTCTGGCGTCCTTATAAAAAGGGGACGCTTGGACACGGGCACACATGCAGGGAGAACACCATGTGAACATGAAGGCAGAGATGGGGTGATGGATCTACAAGCCGAGGAACACCAGTGATGGCCAACAAACGACCAGAACCTGGAGGGAAGCATAAAAGATTCTCCCTCACAGCCCACAGAGATAAGCAACCCTGCTGACACTTTGATCTCAGACGTGTAGCCTCCAGGACTATGAGACAATACATTTCTGCTGTTTAAACCATCTAGTCTGTGGCACTTTGTTATAGCAGCTCAAGCAGATGAACCCCCATAGGGCAGAAGCCCTTCTGAGTCCTGGCCACGTATGTTCCCTCAGTCCCGACTTCCCACTCACCTTAACCACGGGCTCAGTTTCCCTGGGGGGGACCCTACGTCTCAGTCGCTTTTCTCTCCGTCTTTGAACCAAGTTTTCCAAGTCAGCCAGAGTCTCTAGATTAAGTCTGGAACTGTTAAATCTTTCGAGCTGGGGCAGAAAGTGGGCAGAAGACAAGACCATGCCAGCCGTCAGCCACTGGCTGTGGGAGCAGTGGGGGCAGGCTCCTGGTTAGTCAAGCTGTTGGCTCCTGGGCCAGAGCCTGCCCACAGCACACCAGCCACCCTGCCCTGCCCCCACAGCACTCTCACTTTCTTCTTCTTCTCCTCTTCCAATTTCAGCTTCTCCCGGGCCACAGCCTCTTGGGGTGCCATCGTCCCGTCACTAGGCCAGCCTCCGGGATCAGGAACTCCATGTCCAAATCCCAACACTTTCCTTTCCTTTCTTTCTCCACATACCTGTAGGAACAGGATATGGATAAAGAATCAGAAAAATTGGAGGAACCTTAGAAGATAGAGTTGTGCAGTACCAGGGAGATCTCTGACAAGAGGTGATGTACAGAGCTGAGTGCTCTGGATTTGAGGGTCAGCCTGCTCCTCCCTTCTGGAAGCTCTGTGGTGGTCTGAGCATTGGCAAGCCGCCAGACCTCATGGTTGCTGCTGGCTCCACCAACTGGTGTCAGACGAGGCCCAGGGGACAAGTGATCACTGCCCACCCTGCTCCTGTCAGCAGGATGACACCACATCTATTTATACCGCTGGGCTTGTGCCCAAGTAGCCTCAGGGCAGATGACACCTTAGCTTCCCTCATGGGCTGTTGTCCTTAGATTCCTACCAGATCACGCCATCATGCCACCTGACTCCAAGCTCAGAAGGACAGAGGAGATGCCTCCTGGGTAAACTTCTAAATTCCTGAGTTCAATTCTTGGCTCTTTCTGAAGCTACGTTCAGGCTCAAACTAGCATTTACCTAAAGCAGTTGGGAAGATTGTGTGAGTTACTGCGACATGGAGCGGAGCCTACCACAGCAAACATCCATTCTCCCCCGACACACACCCCAGCTCCATGAGTTCAGGAGCTGGGAGCATTGAGGACTAAGCATGCTGTGGGGAGAGGAAAGCTTGGAATGACAGGGTAACAGAGGGCTTCCAGCCATATTCCCTTCTAGAGCAACTCTGGCAACCTAACGCTCCCCTGCAATTGGCCTCCTGGCAGAGGCTGTACCAGGCTGGGGCCGGCTGGGGTCAGCGGCCACAGTGGTGCTTGCTGGGCAATGTGGTGTCCTGGGCCTCACACCTCCATGCCCCACCTCCCCAAAACTGACAGGCTAAGTGTCACTGTTCCTCTCATGGCCCAGGGAATGCCAACGCGCCCCCTCCACCTCCCTGACCAAGGCTGCCAGACCCTCTGGACTTCCAGAACAGCAATCGTGGTGCTTGAGCTAAACAAACACCACAGCTACACCTACATCTTCCAAGGTAACCTGCCATTTCCTGTTTCTCTTTCACCATCGCAGTCCAGGGCAAAACTCGTTAAACTCAAGAGTTTTCACATCTTTCCCATTCAACTTCCCTCTCTTGCTCCCTAACCCCCTCAACCAGCTCATGTGAGAATCAGGCACACAGACCAGAAAAGAACTGCATGCTCAGCTGGGCATGGTGGTGCACACCTGAAGTCCCAGCTACTCAGGAGGCCAAGGTGGGAGGATCGCTTGAGCCCAGGAGTTTGAGTCCAGCTTGGGCAGCATAGCGAGACCCCGTCTCAAAAAATTTCTTAAATAAATAAGTAAAAAAAAGAAGTGCATGCTCCCTTGTTCCTAAAATTTGATCCTCAGACCACAGAAAGAAGCTGCCAACTCTCCTCTAGCCAGATGGCATCACTCTGCCAGGCTGGTCTCAGGGCGCCTCCCGCCTCTGCCCCATGTCCTTACCAATTGCTGAATGCTGATGAAGTCCATGGTCCCCCCTGCTCTCCACAACCCCCAGTGAGAGGAGCTGAGCTGCTCAGCCCTTTTATAGGAGCGTCTCTCAGGGGCAGGGGCAGAAAGGGAAGGACAGAGGCTTGTTCCTGGGCCAGATGACTCTGTGGTTCTGTCATACTAACAAAAATACCAGTCTGGGAATGTAGCCCACTGGGGACAGGAAAAGGAACTGTTTGGAGATGAGTCTGCTACATCCTCAGACACCTGCTAGTCTGCACCTCTGCCATGCTCCACATTTACTCAGGAGTCACTTAACTAACACGTATGTCCTGGAGTGACTGGACCACCAGCCCAGATTCGGGGGGAAAATGTTTCCCATGCTCCTAAGTTAAGACCCCACTCATGAAAAAAGTCCATTTTGAGCTCCCATGGTGTAGATCTGGCTGCCTGAGAAACCTCAAAGACACTGCCTGGTTGCCATAGCACAAGGAGGGCCTGGGCAAGGACAGAAGCAGCTTGGCCCATTGCCTCAGGGATCCTCATGGCACCTACAGGAGGAAACCAGGCTTCACCTGATCTCCCAACTCACCTGTTTCAAGGCTGTCCTCCGTGTGCTTGATGGTCTCCCTTCCTGGGGTCCCCTACTTCTCCCTCACCACTCTGGGAGCCAACACGTTACACTGCCTCAGCATCAGGAGCCAGGCCTGCTCTGTTGTTACTCATGCCTCTGGAAAAGTCTTCCACGCCCCCAACACACGTCCCTGTCAGATGCTCTCCAGGCAGGGAGTGTGCCCTTCCACAGGGAAGGGGAGATTGAGGCCCGCTCCGGGTCCCCATATGCAATGGTAACCATGAAATCCAGCCAAGGAGCAATCTGTCTCAAGAAACCAACATCGAATCTCCTGATTTTCCTTAAGAAGCCATGCATGCCCTTCACCCAGCTGTGCCTTGAAGTCTACCTTGACCTTTGAAAGGAAATCAGATAGCCTGTAAATAAGACCCTAGAACCAGAATAACATGAGCAGAGATGACCAGGAGGAGAGGGAGGGAGAACCGTGGGTCGAGAATGACCAAAGGCCCCAAAGGGCTGCCAATGGTCCCACCCACAGGACTGGCTTCTTGGAAGTGCTTCCGAATTTCAAGAGAACTTAGGGAAGTGCAGAGCTTTTTAAAGAAACTCAGTTCTTACGCTTGAGGGTACTTTTTTCAGACAAAGGTGATTGCTTGCTTTTGGTTATGAGGAGGGTAAGTTACCTAAAATGGGGGCAACAGACAAGAAAAAGAAAAACTTCAGCTCTGGACTCCACTGTCCACTCCTGACTCTAAAATTCCCCTCCTTCAACATTTGAGGAAAAGGGCATTTTGCATTAATAGGCTTCATCTGAAATTCTCAGCAGAAAACCAGCCTGTCCCACATGAAACTAACTCTGACTTAAAAAAAAAAAAAGATTCCTTATTAAAAAAAATTCAAACATAAATGCTCCAGACAATTCAAACAATAATGTTCCAGATGTCTTGCCTCCGTGGCCTGGGAAAATTCGTGGGTACCAGTTTAATGTACATCCTCCCGCCTTTCCCTCTGTATATTCCATGTATGTACATCCACACGTTCCTGCACTTGATCTGTTTCTATAGATGTGTTTTGTTTGGAGAAGCATCATGTTGCAGACACACTCGGCCCTTGTTCCACCTGCACACGCCATGCTCAGCTGCATTGCACGCCAGTGACATGCTTGCACGACTTAACCTTTCCCTATTGAGGAGCAGTCAGGTTGTCCCCATGGTTTGTTTACATTACACCCCATGCTCCAATGCCCACCTCTGTAAATGCCCCTGTGAATAAACACCTTTGTAACCATGGAAGAACATTTCTCCAGGAAGCTACGGAGACATCAAATTATCAGCCCTGCTCATTTAAATTTAAATAGACGTTGCCAAACTGCCATCTACAGTATCTATACCAACTTCCACGAACAGATACCAGCAAGTTAAGACAAGTGACAGCATGAAAGAAAAAGAGAAAAAGGATTTTTAAATGTATATGAATATATGGAGATATAAAAAAACAATCAAAATCCAGAATATAAACTCCTATGAATCAATAAAAGGGAAAACATTTTTAAAATAAGCATGGGCAAGAGGTTCACAGAAAACAGGTAATTAGGACTAGTAATCAGCAACACAAAATAAAGCAATAGCACTGTCCTACCTACCAGACCGCTGAAAGTAATGAAATCGCGGCACGAAAGCCCACGCCGGTGGAGTGCCAGGAGCAGGCCCTCCTCTGCTTGTCACGTGCCAGGCTGTCTCTCAAGCATTCCCCTGATGTTCGCTCATTTAGTCCCCACAATGACTGAGGCAGGTCCTGTTACAGTCACTTTCGTCTTATAGATGAGGGAACTGAGGGACAGACAGGTAAAGTGACTTGTGCCAAGATCATTTAGCTAGAAAGCAGCTTTTGTCACATATTCCATATTTTCTTCTAATACTTACATAGTTTTTATATTTAGATCTTTAATCTTGTGATTTTTTGTATATGTGGGATGAGATAAGGATATAACTTTATTTTTTTCCAAATGGATAGATGTCTCACATGAACTCATTTAGAATATGATCATCTGTCTAGGCTTAAACACTTCCAGCCCCGCCAAGCCTACTCCCTCGCCTCCACAGTAGCCAAACGGGCTCTTCCTGTGTCTTCTGGCCACATCTTCCTGCCCTGCAGCACAGATGCTGACCAAGGCAGGGGCTTGGAGAGCTGGTCTGTGGACCCTTTAAGGGCAGCCCAAGACAGGAGAGTGGTGACTCAGCTGGCCAGAAGGTCCCGCAGGTCACTGTTGCAGGGCAGCAGGTCACATGCTAGCCGTGCCTTCCGATCCCGGACGGCCTTCAGGGCTGGGCTGTGTTGCAACAGGAGGCAGCAAATGTCCACGTGTCCCTTCTCAGCAGCCTGTGGAGAGAGTCCCAAATCAAAAGGCATGCCCCCATTGGGCTCTGCTCTTTCCTGCTCCACTTCTGGGGACCTCTGGCCCCCTAAAAAAGAGCTTTTGTGGAAATGGAGACACTGGCAGTTTGAGTGGATTTCCTACCAAATCCCACTGACTTTACGCAGATTGGTGGAGTACCCCAGTGCCATCTGGCAATTTGCCTGAGTTTTACTTTTTTATGTCCTTTGCCCAGTGGCCATTCTTGTCTTTGGCCAGACTTACACATTAAAAACAAGCACAGAACCTTGGATCTCTAAGCGTCTTTCACAAATATCCACATGTCATCCATAGGACGCTGGGTACAACATACACCAGACACAGCCCTGCCCTTCGGCAACTTTTAGATGAGTAGGCAAAGGCTGGGGCCCAGGTTCCCAGCTTTCTCCTCTTCTTCTTTATGACAGATGACCCCGATCTGGACATCGATTTATAACCACCCCCCCATAACAGAGTTAAATGATTGATTTATGTAGATTATCTTATTTAACTTTCACAATAATCCTCTGAGGTAAGAACCATTATTATTCTCATTTTACAGATGAAGAAATTTAGGCTTATATAAGTTAAGTAACTTGCCTAAGTAAGGACACAGAGCTCGTGTGGTTTAGAATCCCAGGTTTGTCTGACTTCAAAGTCTAAACTCTTAATAACTATGGTAACCACTATATTCCCTACTCCTCCCAACAGACAAATTGATGGACTACAGTGGCTTTTGAGAAGTATCAAAATTAATAGTAGTAGCAATTACTATACCAAATTTGAACCCAAATCTTTATTTAACAGGTCCTCTTCTTTTTTTTTTTTTTTTAGAGACAAGATATCACTGTGTCACCCACACTGGAGTGCAGTGATGCAATCATAGCTCACTGCAACCTCAAGATCTTGGGCTCAAGCGATCGATCCTCCTGCTTCAGCCTCCTGAGTAGCTGGGACTACAGGTCCACCACACTCAGCTAATTTTTTTTTTGTAGAGACGGGGTCTCGCTATATTGCCCAGGATGGTCTTGAATTCCTGGCCTCAAGCGATCTTCCTGCCTCAGCCTCTCAAAGCACTGGGATTATAGGCATGAGCCACTGTACCTACTGAGCAGCTCCTCTTGGTGACTGCAGACCCAAGGTTCTCAATTTCAGTGCCTCAATTCAGGCAGTGATATGTTGTAAGCAGTTGTGAGATGCATTCCAAATATACTTTTACAAAAAGTAAAGTACCAAATAGTTGATTTAAAAAAAAAAACAACACACAAAAGAATAATTCATATCCCTCACACATTTTCATTCTCTGAACGAGAGAAAAATAGACGGAGATGCATCTAAAATGCTGCAAGCTGTGGGTTACACCAGCCAGGTATACCCACAGCAGCAACATGTGAACTGTAGCAGCAAAAAGTCTGAGCAGGCCGGGCGTGGTGGCTCACGCCTGTAATCCTAGCACTCTGGGAGGCCGAGGTGGGAGGATCGCTCAAGGTCAGGAGTTTGAGACCAGCCTGAGCAAGAGTGAGACCCCATCTCTACTAAAAATGGAACAAATCAGCTGGACAACTAAAAATATATATAGAAAAAGTAAGCTGGGCATGGTGGTGCATGCCTGTAGTCCCAGCTACTCGGGAGGCTGAGGCAAAAGGATTGCTTGAGCCCAGGAGTTTGAGGTTGCTGTGAGCTAGGCTGATGCCACGGCACTCTAGCCCAGGCAACAGAGCAAGACTCTGTCTCAAAAAAAAAAAAAAAAGTCTGAGCAACACCAGTGTAGACCATTAAGAAATAAGCAATCTGCCTATCCAATTGGCAAGGATTAAGAAACAAACCCAATATCCAGCTGTTCACTCAGTACATATCCATTGAGCACCTGTGCTAAGTGCTAAGGCTATAACAGTAAACAAAATAAAGTCCCAGCTGTCTCTAGTGAGAGAGACAGACCTCAAATAGGGAATTGTAAAGTAGAGAGGCGTTAAGAACAGTTGAGTCCAGGGTGCACACAGCTAGGTATACATCTGGGTAAGCTAACCATGTTTGGGGATCAGAGAAGGATGTCTGGGGGTGTGATGTGTAAATTGAGATCCAGAAGGAAGGGGAGAAATAAGCCAGATGAAAAGTGGGAGGGGAGAGGCATCCAGACAGGGGAAGAGCTTGTAATACATGCCCCTGGGGTGACAGAATAGTAGGTTCAAGAAAATAAAAATGATTAGCAGGGCCTGAGTGTAAGGGACAAGGGGACGAGAGCTCAGGATAAAACTGGAAAGGAAGGCAGGAGCTTCCCCCACCTTGTAAATTGGCTTATGGACTTGGGAAAAGAAAGCCTCTGAAGGATTCCAAGTGAGGGCATGGCATGATCAGAACTGCTTTCTAAAATATCGCTTTGGGAGAAGATCCAAGTGGGGGCAAGAGAGGACTATATTTACACACGTATTGCATAAATATGCAGAGACCACCTCTCAAAGATGCATAAGAAATCAGTAAAGTGAATGCCTCGAAGGAGGTGGTCTAGAAGACTGAGGGACGAGAGTCAGGTAGAAGGGAAACTCATTTTCATGGCATATCCTTTTGTACTCCTCAAATTGTTTACCATGTGTCAGTATTTCCAGTTAGAAAGAGTTTAATTAAATGATTACTCTGGCTATAACACAGAAGGTGGACCACAGGGACAGGCAAGAGTAGGTACAAGTTTCAGAAAATCAATTGCATGGAAAAGTCTTTGTGACTTATCACTAAGGGAAGAACAATAAAACAGCACTGTACATTTTCATTTTAATTTGCACACACAGGAAAAAGGCTGGAAAATCACACATTAATCCTAAAGTGATGACAGGTGAGCACTGAGATTACAAATGATTTTATTTTCTTCTCCATGCGTTTTTGTTCTCCCCATGTTTTCTACAGGAACATGCTACAACTTTTAGAATAAGAAAAGAAGGGGGAAAGGAGCATACCTTATGTAGACTGGTCATGCCATCGTCGTCTACCAGCCTGGGGTTGGACCCATGTGAAAGCAGCAGCCGTGCGATTTCAGTGTGCCCACAGTAGCTGGCCCGGTGCAGAGCGGTGGCACCCCCATGGGTTTGGGCATCACAATTAGCTCCACTTTCCAGCAGGAACTGGCACACAGCATAGTGCCCATTGCGGCTCGCATAGTGCTGCAGGGAACAGAGACCAAGGTCAGACAGCAGAAGCCTGGCAGGCCACAAGGGTGCTGGAGTTGAGAGGACACAGCCCTGCAGTGAGAGGTCTGGAATCATCCCAGGTGCCACCTCCAGCAGCCGAATGGCCTGGGCAAGCTTCTTCATTTCTAACCTCAGCTTCTTCAACTGGAAAATGATCATTCCTATCTCACAGGATTGTTATGAAAATAAAATTAAATAATTGATGTAATGCTCTTACACTAATTAAAACAATCCAAGTTCACATGCTGTTTAAAAGAGACACTTTGCTAGAAGAAAGGCAGGGAGAAGACAAAAGGTAAACATCAATTCCCCCTTCTCAGAGAGCAGGCATCCCTGAGTTAAAGCTTCTCTCTTCTGACCGTGTTCCTCCCCAGCTCACCAGAGCAGTGTAGCCAGCGGAGTCAGGCTGACTAGGATCCGTTGCCTTCTGGATTAAATACTTTACTCGGCCCAGGTCTCCATTCAGGGCTGCCGACCAGATCCCTGCAGAAAGTATCCAAAGTACTGAATAATGCCAGATGAATGGGCGCTTTTAATGCTTCCTTTACCTCTTGACCTCAGTTTTCTGAGCATCAGCTATTCTATAAAATGGAGGATATCCGTTCCTTCAACAAATATTAATTGAGCACCTCCTCTGTGCCAAGGACTATTCTAGGTGCTGGTGACATAGCTGTGAACAAGACAGACAAGGGCCTTGTCTAATCAGAACAGTAGGATTAGGCAGACAAAGAAATCCCTTCTTACCACTTCAAACACAGAAATGTTCGATAAAATAATTTTGGGCCAGGCGTGGTGGCTCAAACCTGTAATCCTAGCACTTTGGGAGGCCAAGGCAGGAGGATTGCTTGAAAGCAAGCAACATAGCGAGACCCTGTTTCCGTAAGAAAAAAATTTAAAAATCAGCTGGGCATGGTAGCATAGGCTTGTAGTCCCAGATGCTCAGGAGGCTGAGGCAGAAGGATCACTTGAGCCCAGTTCAAGGTTACAATGAGCTATGATCAGGCCACTGCACTCCAGCCTGGGCAACGGAGTGAGATCTTGTCTCTAAGGAAAAAAGAAAAGAATATAGAGCCAAATTCAAAGCAAGAAAAGGAAATTTCACAAAGTGGAAACCATAGCCAAAGTGGTGAGCAGGTACTGAAGTTGTAGAATCCAAAGGGCACTTGGAACTGGACACACACCTCAGGGGCTTTGGTGCAAATGCTTGAGCAGGGTCCAGAGTGACAGCTGCAGGCCATGTGCATGGCAGGGAGCTAGAGCAAGGCTCTGTGCACAAAGTTTGGAGGCAGGAAGTGCCACAGTACAGAGGAACTGGGACTGGAGAATCTCTATTCTCCTGCCCTGCAGAGCAGCAAGAAGAAAGCTGCTATGCCTAGGCAATTCATTTATTCAGCAAATGTTTACTGAATACTTACTATGTGTGTGGCATTAGGGATCTTCTATGTTCTACTACCAGAACTGCTATGTTCTAGGCACTAGGGATTAGCCACGTATAAAAGATTCCCCCCCAAAATTTGGCCTTATAGAGTTTACATTCCAATTAAAGGAGAAAGACAAGAAGCAAGTATATATATATTCGTTTATACATTGTCTAAATAGAAGTACATATATTTGTTATATGTTTATGTATACTGTATAAATATTTTATATATAATGATATATATATAATTCAGGGGGGTAAGGAGACAGGGTCTCTCTCGTTGCTGGGCTAGAGTGCAGTGGCATCACCATGGCTCACAGCAACCTCAAACTCCTGGGCTCAAGTGATCCTTTTGCCTCAGCTTCCCAAGTAGCTGGGACTACAAGTGTGTGCTACCATGCCCGGCTAATTTTTTATTTTTTGTAGAGACAGGGTCTCACTATTGCCCAGGCTGGTCTCTAACTCCTGGCCTCAAGCAATCCTCTTGCCTTAGCCTCCCAAAGTGTTAGGATTACAGGAGTGAGCCACCGCACCTGGGCTAATTACACATACAATTTTATAAACATATTCTATATATTTTATAAAATAAGTAAGTTGGTGCTAAGTGCTCTAAAGAAAAAGCAGGGAAGAAGAATAAGCAGTGGTCAGGGATAGTCTCTCTGATGAGGTAACATCTGAACAGAAACCTAAAGGAAATTAGAGAAAGCACCATTCAGATAGATGTGAAAAGATAGCAAAAACAGAGAAAAATCTAAAAAACGAGATACCCTGACTTATGCAACTTGGAGGTATGGGGCCTATTAACTGTACATTTGGGAAACAAGAACCCCAAGCTAAGAATCTGTTACAGTTTGGACTATCATAAAAGCTGATCCAGACAAATGAACCCTATAAGGGCCAGGCAGAGACAACTTTGAAAAATACCCTATAAAGATGCCTCCAGAAGCCAGCCAAAGTAGTGTGAGAATCTCCCACAAAAGAGGATCCCCTCATCAGCTCAAAGACAAAAAATTACAAAACAAGAAGTAATCTACTGCCATAAGGTGACAGCAAAAATCCAAATGGGAAAATGCATGCCTCATAAATTAGCCATTATAGCACAACCTAAAAAAGACTTTAAAACAATGTTTAATGTATTCACAAAGACAGAGAAATAGACTTCACAAATCAACAGAACATTAGGGAAAAAAAAATAGGCAGATCTGAAACAGAAAAGTCAATAAATTAAAAAGTAGAATCTTTGAGCTGGGCTGGGTAGCTTGCACTTGTAATCTCAGCTACTAGGGAGGCTGAGGCAGGAGGATTACTTGAGGGCAGGAGTTTGAGGCTGCAGTGAACTGTGATTGTGCCACTGCACTCCAGCCTGGGTGACAAAGCAAGACGTTGCCTCCGAAAAAAAAAAAAAAAAAAGAGTAGAATCACTGAAATAAAACAACAATAGATGGGTTGAACAGTATTGCACACCCAGTTGAAGAGAGAGTTAGTGATTTGGAATTCAGAATGCAGCACAAAATGATAAAGAAAAAAATATTATGGTGAATAATCTTTTAAATGTGCTGTTTGCTAGTATCTTGTTGACGATTTTTGCATCTATGTTCATCACAGATATTCTTTTTGTGTTAGAGAAAAATATTAAAGAGCAGTAAAGAAACACGGAAGATAGAATGTATCAGCATTTGTCTAACAGGAGTTCCAGAGAGAGAGAGAAACTGGATACAATGGGAGAGAAGTAATGTCTGAGGAGGTAACAACTAAGAATTATCCAGAATTAAAGACAACCTTGAGTCCTCAGATGAGAAACCACACTAAATCCCACAGATTAATAATAAAAAATCTAGCATGGTGAAATGACTGAATATCAAAAATAAGAGAATATTTTAACACATTAACTGTCATGTGAGTTGTATTTAATTCACACCAGTTTTGAGCCCGGCGCCTCGTGAAGCATATGTAGCTCTCACATGTCTCTTTACCTTGGGAGTCGTGTGGTATGCAGGCAACTCACACTGCCATGCTGTAGCATACATGTTACGTGATGGGCGGCCCCCTGGGCAAAACCCTGGAGTTGGTTGTGACAATCTTACTTGTTGATGTTTTTATTGTTATAATTAATATTGACAATTTAATTGTACAGAAAACAATATAAAATAACAAATTTTTCATTACATTAGAAAGGATCGTTTTGTTTTCAAAGTTTTTATTCTATTTTCGTAATAAAACACCGTGGCCCTAAGGAAAAATCTTTTTTTCTAGTGTGGTAGTCAATGTGTTAATGTCGCCAAAAAGAAAAGATCATCACCCATCAAAGACCAACAATCAGATTATCAACAGATTTAACATCAGTAGCAGATACAAGAAGATAAGGGAAAAATATTTCCAGAAAATTGAGGGGAAAAAAACCCTGTTAACCTAGAATTTTATAATTTTATACTCAGCTAAGCTATCACAAGTGTATGTGTAGGCCAAGGAGAGGCATCTTCACTGAAAAAACTATTAATGTACTTTTGGAAAAAAGGAAAATGAACCTAGAAGGAAGACATGATTTGAAGAAAAAAAGTTCACATAACAAAGTAGATAATGATCTTTTCTGTGTGTGGGAAATAATAAATGAGTAAGCAAACAAAATAATGTCAGATTATAAAAATTGTTTTGATGAAAGCAAGATGATAGATATATCAGAGTAACCTAGAGTGGAAGAGGCCTAAATTTTGATAGGGCAAAATTTCTTTCTCAACAACAGCACAACTGACATGTTGGGCCAGATAATTCTTGTTGTGGAGAGCTGTCCTGTGCATTGTAAGATGTATATAGCATCCCTCTACCTACTAGATACTTGTAGCACTCTCTCCAGTTGTGACAACCAAAAATGTCTGTAGACATTGCCAAAGTCCTTCAAATGGCAGAATTGCTCCCAATTGAGAACAACTAGAATGGGGTATTTAGGGAAAGTCTCTCTGAGGAGATGACATTTGAGCTGAGATCTGAAGGAAAAGCATCAGCTAGCCTAATGGTTGCAGGAAGTTCATTCTAAAGAGGTGGGACAAGTGCAATGGCCTTAACTCAGGAAAGGGTCTTGCCTTCTTAAGAAACCCAAACAAGACCTGTGTGGCTGAAGCATAGTGACTGGGAGAAGGAAAGGATGAGAAATAAAACGAGGGTAGAGAAGTAGAGTAGGCAGGGGTTAGGTCCAAAGAGCTTTGTAGGCCACAATAGGGAATGCTCTGATTTCATATTTTCAAAAAGCCACTCTGGCTGCTGTGTGGAGAGTACAAAACATTGCAGGAGGGCAAGAGTGGAAAGACCCCCTGAGGGAACCACTACAGTAGCACAGAGGAGCGTAGTAGGAGAGGCAGAGGAAGTAGGCAGATGCGGGAACAATTGTCTAGTAATAGTTAAATACAAAGGCATATAAAGCAGTAGCATCTACCCAGCAGTTGATGGCAATGTTATTATTACTGAGTAAGCTGCCTGTGCACGGAGAGGTGATAGAGCATGTCAGCACAGTGGTTCCCAGCACGGAGAAGAGGAACCTCGGTTTCCTGCTTTCCTCTGTTCCTACTAGCAGCATAATCTCAGTATAGTCTAGGGCAAAAGAGTTGCCTCTCCGGGCCCCATAGGCAGGGATATCATTCCTGCCTCGAGGACTGTTTGTGAGAAGCTCTTTGCCCTATCTGAAGCTTGTACACTGCCTGGCACACCGGAGCTCTCTGGAAGGGCTGGTCCCCTCCACTGAAGCTCCATGCCCTCAGAGCGCGTGCAATACAGATTCTGCTCCCCTGGCCCCTCTCTGACACCTGAGTTGGCTTGTGTCTCCCAGGTAAGGTGAGGAGCCAGGCCCAGCCCTACCACTTGGGAAGGTTACCGAAACCAATGCGAAGTGTCTAATGGCCAAGAGCTCGTGCCAGGTCGCCAGCAGGCTCTCAGTACCGCGGGAGCTGCAGGCCCCCGCCCGTCCTCCCGCGCCAGGCTCGGAAGCTCGTTCAGTTCACGGCCCCTTCCTTTGCCCACGTTGGTGACGGTCCCGAAGGCCCGGCCGCGGGCCTGGGGAGAGCCGGCAGGACCACGCGGCCGCCTCACCCCTTTCGAAGTCCATCTCCTCCAGTGTCTGCTGCACGCTGGGCGCCGCACTGAGGTGGGAGCAACAGGGACCATCCGCACAGGGCCGCAGCGCCGCCATCTCGGCTTCAGCGCCAGCCAACCGGCTGTGGGCAGCCAGCTCGGCCTCGGTGGGCGGGACGGGCGGATGCAGTGCCCGCCCCGCAGTCCCGGATCTGACCATTCAGTGTCCTCGGCTGTCCTCCTAGTCCCGCCACCTCGCCAGAGTCCGCCAATCAAACATCCAGGCCTTAGCTCGAGAACCAATCGAGGCGGTGGGGCGGGACTTGCTGCACTGGGCCGCATCCCGAGGCCGCCACGCGAGGGCGTCCGAGGCTAAGCGCAGGGCGGCGGCGCGGAGGTGCTGGGTAGTGGGAGCAGCCGCACACCGCAGAGGGCGGGCTAGACCTTGTAGGGTGTGGGACGAGGCAGCAGGGCGCGGCCCCGAGCGTTTACATTACCTTCGCCAGAACCCAGCCCTCGAGAGGCCTCTCGGGCTCTTCCCGTTACGAACCTTGTCCCACCGGGCTCCCCAGGGCAGACGGTCTTTCACCCCCTCTTCCCAGCACCCCAGGCCTGGGCCGACTGCCCAGGGCGGTGGTGAGGGCCTCGAGACCCCCTTCCCCCCAACTCCTTAAGTATCCAGTAAGGGGCAGGTGGCCACAACTTGTCCTGCCACTGGAATCAACTCCACATAAGCCCCAAGGGCAGGGAGAGGGCCTTGATTTGTGAGAAGCCTCCACCCCCGCAGTGGGCTGAGTTTACTGAATTAATCTTCCTATTATCAAAACACCCTCTGGGCTGCCGCCTGCGGACCAACCATCCCCTAAGCGTAGCATGCTCAAATCGACAGATCGACACATTGACAGATAGCAGCCTTCTCAATCCACGGTTGAGGAAACCCAGGGCAGCAGCCCATTCCAGCCACAATCCAGCTTACTGGGGGAGACTTCATCTCCACCGCCTCTATCGGTGGGCATGGGTTAGACCAATTGTGTCTAAAGCCATCAGGGGCATTCAGAAATGGTGCACGGACAGAATCCAGCCTGGGTCCTGTTTCTCTCACAAACAGCTGAGCCCTGCACCACTCCCTGACCAAGATAGTGGCTTGGTGGAGCACTCAAGACTCTAGAATTCCTAGAGCGTAGAAGGCTGGAAGTAATCTTTCCTCCCGTAAGTTGGGAGCCCCAACTTCATCCAAGCAACTACCCATCTGTACAACCTTTGGCTGCTTGTAGGAAGCTCCCCTCCTCCAGCCCCCTCACTCCTACTAGCCCTCCCCAGAGTTCTGGGAAGGCAGGCCCCTCCTCTTCTCCCCGCCTGACTCCCAGCGCCCTGACTTGTCCAGTTTGGCCAGAAGCCAAGGCTGCCTCCCAAGGGGATGTGGCCATGGTCTAGTTCCCAGCCCCAAAGCCACCACTGTGGGAAAACACTGGAGCTGGGTTGTTCCCCCTCCTGAGAGGGGCACAGGCAGGCACGACCACAGAAGGGGTGGCTGCCCTGAGACAGGGGAGGCCCAGCCCAGCCTTGCTCAACCCACAGTGAGTCTTCCCTCCTGGCACCCAGAAGAGTTTTGGCCCAGAAGTCTCATCCCCATCGCAGTAATAGTTTCATTTTCTCCATTTTATTTGTCAATATAAAAATACTCAAATATTTACAACAAATAAATATGCGGGGACACAATAAGTTACACTGTTAGGAGCCCTCCTAGGGCTGGGAGAGGATATGTTAATATCCATAGCATGCCCACCCTCTCTCCCTTCCCTCCCCCAACACAACCTTTCCGAGCCCTGTACTGAAGAGGACAAGTATAAAATACCACGGAACCCAGGGGCCAAGTGGGAGGCCCCACCCACCCTTCCCCCCAAACACACAGGAGCCTCCATCTCCCTCCCCCCACCCTGAAAACATTCACAGCCCTAGGGGCAGGTCTAGGCCCACCCCTGAGCCCTGCACTCCCCCTAAAGGGGTACAGCACCCTGCCCGCCCCACCCCCATATGTACATCACTGCCCCACACTCGGGACAGATGGGGGCAGGAGAGGCAACGTGATACGACCCCTTCCCCTTCATAGCTCTAATGACTCACCAGGAGGACCCCAGGCCTAGGGAAGACTGGACAGAAACAGGAAGGCTATGCCACACACACACACACACACACACACACACACACACACGTGCAAACACTTATGAACACAAACACACCCACATCTTGAAACTTCTGCCGTGAAAAGTTTTGGCTGCTGGGGTCCCATGTGTCCATGCTTCACAGAGAGGAGGAAGATGCCTCCTGCGAGGCTGGTGCCCTGGTGAGCCACACCAAGTGGCAGTGCCCATGCTGAGCAGAGCAGGTCCTCATGGCCGGGCGGGTGCTGGGCAGGGTCTGTCCCAGGCAGAGCAGGTGCCCATGCCATGTCCCTGAGGTAGCTGGTGCCTGTGCAAAAGTAGGAGCTGCACCTCCCACGCTCTCCCCGCCGATGCGGTGGGGGGTTCCCCTCATACTGACGACTCTTCTGGGTTGGAGTCGGGCAGTGGCTGGCGCTGCTGCAGTTTGCGTCTCAGTTCATCAGCGAGCTCAGGCAGGGGGTGCCCGAGCCCTCCCCGGTCCTCCCCTCCTAGTTGTAAGCGCACGTAACCATTGGCATTTGAGTTCCTCCCGCCCCCCAGGTGAAGCCGAGTTGGAGAAGGCAGGGGCTGGCCTGGGATGCCAGGAGGCGGAGAAGGGGGGCCACCCCCAGGCTGGCACCGGGCGTGTCCAGGTACAATCTTAAGGGAGCCATCCGAGTAGTAGTAGCCAACAGGGTCCCAGAGTTTCTCATCTGTTTCGGGGCCGGGCCGGAAGGGGGGACTGGTGGGTTCCTTGGGCAGCTCTAGAGGGTACACCAGGGTCCTCTCTGCTGCTTTGGCTCCTTTCTCCAGTTCTTCCCGCAGCCGCCGGCGCAGGGACAAAACAAGCAGCAGCAGCACCAGGCACACAGCCCCCAGGGCCACCACAGCCAGCCACACCAGCCCCAAGTTTTCCAGGGGGGCCCGGGCCTCCAGGGTCACTGATGGGCCTGCCACTACAGCCACAAGGTAGCCTTCAGCAGCCAGCCGTGCCCCCTGCTCCTCTGAAAAGCAGTGGTAGGCCCCAGCATGGCGGGGCTGGGCAGCCATCACAACCAGGGCCTGGAGCCGGGCATCATAGAGGAAGGAGCCAGGCTGTTCTGCAGGCAGGTCCCGGCCCCCAAAGGTCCAGCGGGCATGGGCCAGGTTGGAGGAGAGTCGGCAGGGCAGAACCAGGTCTGTGCCTGCCACCACTGTGATGTTTTTAGGAGTGGGCCTGACTGCAGCAGCAGAGAAAGAGAGAGCAGAGTTAGTATAGGAAGCCCAGGACTGGGTCCAGGGCTCATCTCAATAGGAGGGGGACAAAACAGACAGCTCACCTTTCTTACTGCCACGGAGGTTACAAATGCCCGACGGGTCTGAGATTGTCACATGCTGGATCAGCAGGGATCTAATAGGGGACTCAAGGGATGTCAGCAGCCCAGCTCCAACCTCCCTTCCCTCCCTCCTGGTCGTGGCCCATGCAGAGCCCAACTCACCCAGAATGGCCACCCACAGCCACACAGCGGCTGGTGTTCATGCTCCAGGCACAATAGGGGTCCCGGGCGAGGACACAGTCTGCACAGGAGCGGTACTTCATGCAGTCCGCTAGTGGCAGCTGCACCAGCTGAGAGCGGGAGCCAGCAAAGAGCAGCTTCTGCAAGAGAATTAGGGCCCAGGAGGGTCAGCTAGGGCCACATCTGTGGGTGGCAGCCCGGCCAGGACACAGCACAGGGGGCTCCCAGACCCCTGCAGGGTACACAAGGACAAAGGAGGAAGACAGCAGGCTGTAGACCTGAAGAGGGAAATTTAAGAGCCAAAGAACTCACTGAGGACTTATATAAGCCAGACACAATCCTAAGTACCTTACAGACATGACCTTATTAGAAAGGGACGACAGAAGCGTGAGCCTGGATGTGTAATCACACTCACACACACAGTGCAGGAAGTACGTTCTCCTTGAGGCCCATCAACCCTCACAATAGCACCAGCATAAAATAAGGTGTTTTCCTCAGTTTGAATGGTGAATGCTAATTTGTGTGTTTATTCAACCACACACTTTCTTTCTGCCATTATTCTATGTTCTGGGGAATAATTCTGAGTCACCATAGTTGGTAAAAGGCAAACAAATCAAAGTTCAGGGGGTGCTGCAAACATGCCAGGAAAGAGTATTGCATGAGGTAAAACGCAAGCACTCTGGGAAGCGCTCAAGGAAATGAAACGGAGGGTCGGGACCAGAGAGCAACTGGGGGCTGGCAGGAAACCGACATCGTGCGGGCATCATAAACATCTCACAGCCTGGGTGGTCTGGCCAGTGGGGGAGCGACCAGGGAAGAGCTATAGCCACAGCTACAGCACAACTTGGAGGCATCTGAAGAAAACTCAAGAGCAGTTGCCAAGGCCTGCCTCCGGGGACACAGCCCCACGGACCCAGCTATATGTAACAGTCCTTTGGAGCGCGGATTACATCACTTCAGTGTGCTTATTTCCAGGAACCCACCCCAAGCTACGCAAGGTGTTGAGTGAGTTGGCATGCACGTGTCCCCACCTCTGCAATGGCCAAGCGCGTAAGCCCGACTGGGAAAGGCAGACAGAGGGAGTGAGATACGATGGTGCTAAGGACAGCGGTGGGGGGGACAGGGGCCTGACTCACTACCTTGCTCTGAGATAGCACCAGGCTTTCCACCGGCTCCTGGTCAAACACCTGCAGCTCCTCGATCAGGTGGACCCAGGGCCCCAGGCTCACAGCTTTGAGCAGCCACCCATCTCCTGTAGGGGAGGAGGGGCAAGGTGTAAACGGGGGCACGAGGCCCCGGGGCGTCTCCAGGTCTCCCGGCTCTGGGCACAGGGCCTTCACCCAGCCTCCAGTACTGTGCCCGCACACCCATTCGCCTACCTGTGCCAATGAACAGCACCGTGTAGGTGGTTCTATCAAGCCCCGTAACCCGGTCAGCCACCAAGTGAGTGAAGTTGGTGTCCTTCTTCACAAGCAGGGGGCGGCCCCACCGAGGCCCCACTT